TGTTTGAATCTGTTGTAGAGTTCTTGGAAAACAAAGACACAGAATTGCGCGACAATCTCATCACACCCACGAATGATATCGCATACCTGACAGACCTTTATAAATTGCTTAATAATATGAATATCCAACTTCAAGGCGATGACTTGAACTTAATAAAAACAAAAAATGTCATCGCTGCTTTCGTGGCCAAGCTGCTCTTACACAAGGAGAATATCGGCATACGTGAGTTCCATAATTTTCCCAATTTATCAGTATCCTGCAACAACGACGACTTGCATGTCTACTGCGAACATTGGGAAAATCTCCACAGTGATTTCATTGAAAGATTCCAGGACATTTTGAAATTGGAAATACAATAGTAGGTGTTAGATCCTTTTTCAAATATCAACATAGCAGTATCACCCCAACTGGAAGAAGAACTTATAGAACTGACAACGAACGAGGAAATAAAAATCAAATTTAAAAATGGCTACAGAAGTCAATCCCGCAGTTTTACCCTGGATTGTGGTCGATCGTTCAACGATTTGTGATAGTATTCCCATCATCATATTTGTGTGAACGTAGATTTAGCGCTGTGACAACGCTGCTTACTTTAAAAAAAGAAAGAAATCGTTTGCATGTTACCGTACGCGGCGACTTAAGACTGTTTTTGAGTAAGATCGAACCTAATATCAACAAATTTGTTAAAAATCATCAAATTCATCCATTTCATTAGATTAGTTTTAAAACTAAAATCTTTTAATTTGATTAAAATATATTCAGACATACCTCAAAACCTTAAAACGAAATTGTACAACCAGTGCGTGTTGCCAGTGATGACTTACGGAACTGAGACGTGGTCCTTCACTGCTGGCCGTATGAGGAAGCTCAAGGTCGCTCAGCGAGCTATGGAGAGGGCTATGCTCGGAGTTTCTCTGCGTGATAAACTTAGGAATGAGGATATCCGCAGTAGAACTAGAGTGACCGACATAGCCCAACGGATTAGTAAGCTGAAGTGGCAGTGGGCCGGCCATATAGCTCGAAGAACCGACAACCGATGGGGAAGAAAGGTTCTCGAGTGGCAGCCTCGTACCGGTAGGCGAAGTGTAGGGCGTCCCCCCACGAGATGGAGTGACGACCTGGTAAGACATGCAGGAAGTCGATGGATGCAGGTGGCTCAGGACCGTGCTTTGTGGCATTCTTTGGGGGAGGCCTATGTTCAGCAGTGGACTTGTGAAGGGCTGTAATGATGATGATGATGATGAAAATATATTCTTAATTTTATAAAGTTGCGTTTTAAGAACCGACTAATATAGCACACCATAACTAAATTAAGTAAAGTAATGAAATTGCGGTTTTTAAGTTTTAGGAGTGTATAAAAAATTAGGGGTGCTGAAAAATAATTGATTTTCAAAGGGGGCAGTAAGAGAAATAAGTTTGATAATCTCTGATTTAAAACCTAAAGAGTCGCTTGGACAAAATTTTAAGGAATGTAATATATTATCTTTGGTCTCTCAATACATTTATGAAAATGTAATGTGTACGTAAGAAAATATAAGTAGTTATACAAAAATAAGTGATATTCATTCTGTAAATACTAGGAACAAACACAAGCTAGTAGTACCAGTTATTCGACTCCACCGATTCAGTAATTAATTCTTGGGGCCATGGATTCGCTTTTACAACAAAATCCCAGAAAATATACAAAATTTGACCTGCTCAAAGTTCAAAAACTTTATTATTCATAGTTTGTATAAAAAAGATTATTATAATATTAAGGAATGTATGGATGATAATAATCCCTGGGAATAGGGTGATCGCTACCATACTATTGCATGGCGCAAAGCGCGTAGGTATGTTCTACTATCGCCTAAAAATCAAGATTCCAACGCTTTGTCACATAAACTCGTATCTAACAATCATATTGAACATATAAATTATATAAAAAGTACATTTCAGAAAGACAGAAAGATAAATGATTGTTGAACTAATTAATATTTTTTTAAATCGATTAATTGCTATTTTTACATTAAAAAAAGTGATTCTAGTGGCTTATGGTGTAGATTTATCAAGTCCGCATGGAGTGGTAAACACGATAACTTTTGAAAATATCAATTGTTTAACTCAATCTATTTTTAATATCATTGGGAAGCCATGGAATGTAAATGGGAGTTTAATTTTATTTTATTAGCTATAATTAATTTTTTCGGCGTAGAAATGCCGAAATTTTCGGTGTTTTGATCAGCCTTGTAATAATTTATTTTACTAAATAGGATGCCTTACTCACTAACTTCGGCCATTCGATCTCAGCTGCCGTCGTGAGTGGATACTGTATCGGTGGTTTGCAGCGGCTTAAAAAGTTCGCTGTACAAATACAAGATAAAAAACCAAATTTGATCCATACTTGATTTTTTTATTACAATATTTTAAAAGCACAGAATAAACAATAGTACTACGTAGGTACTAAAAGTAAGTAGGATGTCTTTATTTAAGTATATTTATACTTAAATACGTCTTGGACTTTATGGAGTAACCTGAAAGATGATATGAAGCTAAATGAGCATTATGAGTCGTGCACTTTTGGATTCTCCAAACTTTTTTTAATTGAAGTTTGTTATAAAATTATTGGAAAATTGGAAGTATAGTAGTAATAAGGTTATTAGTGAAAATTTGTGTGTATTTAAACTACTTTAATGTATAATCATTAATCATGTTATACATAATTTTTAAATGCGCTTAGGGCATGCACAATTGGATTTACCAATATTTCTAATTTGTTTTGTGTTGTTAATTATTGTCTAACATACATTATTGTAAGCAGTTATTTAAAAAAAAAAAACGAGTTTATTACTTCGCTTTTAGCACTCATGTTATATTATATGATAAACTTAGGTGAGAAAAACGTTTCTATTATATTTTTTGTATAAACCAGGTCATTATTATAATATAATATAAGAAAACAAAGTAAAATATGAAACTTTTATGACAAGGGCTGTCAAAATGGGCCGCAAAGAATAACACAGGCGAGCGGTTCTTATACTACGATTATATTATTATTACAAAGGAAATAATGTTATTACAAAATATTCGTGTATAACGTGATGTGATACCGCACTAGCGACAGCACGTAGTACGTGCCATGTAGACCGGTCGCGTGCCTCGCGCAACAGCCTTTCTCACCCAGATTCATTTTGTTAAAAACAGTGTTTTCGTATCAAATTATTACTTACTTGAGAAAATAAATTAATATAATTATTATTGTAAATTTGGTTCCGTGAATCGTTTTTAAAACTTGTTACAGCACATTTTACCATGGTTACTTCATATTCAAGTAAAAAGAGAAACGCGCACTGATTGCGCGTGTCCTTTCGTGACTAATTTTTTTTTTATAGGAAAGGGGCAAACGGGCAGCGGGTCACCTGATTGCACCTGATGGTAAGTGACTACCGCCGCCCATGAACAACTGCAACACCAGGGGAGGGGGAATTGCAGATGCGTTGCCGGCAAGCTCGCTCTTGCAATTTCGACACTGTTCATACCCATGCTTACTGTTCATAATTGTTAACGTACGCTCTATAGCTTGTTTATGTATACTTTGTGGTTGATAAATTTTCTATGGATAGTAAAAAGATATATTTTTACTTTAATTAAAGTAATTACAAGAAAAGATCGAAATAAATGTCACTGATATCAAAGCATACAATATAATAATCGTATAATAACGTAATGATTATATTATTATCACTACGTTTTAACTTATATTTTAACTAGCTGTACCCCGCGACTTCGCCCGCGTGTAATTTGGTTTTAATTTTTTGCGCGGAACCCTAAATCATTTTCTAAAATAAAATAAATAAATAAATAAATAAAGTTACTCCTTATAATATTAGGTATTTGCCAATGAAGGTCCAGCCGTTTCGGAAATTAACCGAAAAATCAGAGACAAATTTTTTTTTTTTAAAATTATGTTTTTTAGTGCCACCAACTTATCTGTTCAGTTGACAGCGTCGCTAGTGGAGCGCTTACTATTGCCATTTAAGAAATTCACCGAGGAAATAGGTGACTACATATTTATTACACATAATATAAAATAAAACAAATTGCTTGTTAATATATTAAAATTAATGAGAATTAGTGTTATTATATATATTATTTATATTTTATAAAAAAAATTGTGGTCGTGACCTCGGAGTTCAAGCGGCTGAACTCCAGGAATTTGTGTTTTGAAAGATGTACCCGCGCTAGCTACTGGTTCCAATAAATCATCTCCTGAGTCACTGGAGTCGCTTCCGATATCGCTCTGACACACTATAATAAAGGGTTCATCTAAATACGCGTATTTTAGTCTGTATTAATTTTTAAGTTTTTTATATGATTACAAATGTTTTTCCACTACACCGGTGTAATTTTATGGAATGCATCTTCAATTAATTGGGGCGTTGGAACATAAGATTTACCAACAGTTTTACAGTAGATTGAAATAAAATTTTTTACTATGTTTCACAAGTACATTATTTGGTGATTTTAATGTTCCATATCTGGCAATACAAACCTGTCGCGGCAGCGACGCGTTCATACAGCTTTTCAAATTGTATAGTTGGGGCTTGTAAACGTTTCTCGCCTTCCATAAAAGATAAAACTTTCGGGATAATCTGTCGCGCATCACTTTTAAGATCTTTAGGCATTTTATTTGCACTTTTTACAAACACTCACCTGATAGCTCAGAATAAATAATAACTGACAGCGAAATGTCATTTACAAAATGGCGGCTTTAGTTCCAATTTTGTCCACCTGAACAAATAAGTTGGTGGCACCTGTATATTCTTTCATATGCATTTAGAAAAAAGCTGTCATTTTGGCATTTCAAACAGACACTTCAATTTTATTTATTTGAATAGATAAAGAAATTATTAAAAAAAATAAAGACATAAATACGTCAAAATCAAACTATTACCACCACATGTCCTTGGAAAATATACATTTCTTTGTAGAAACGTAAAAATTAGAACTATTTATTAAAAATGACGGAAACAGATGCAACAAAGCGGCCACTGCAAATGCCAGAAAAATTTATTCCATATCTGGAGAAACACAGGATGTACAAACTATTTAAAGTAATTATTATGCGTGAGAAAAAATTTCACTATAATTTATTATCAATCACATATCCTTTCCCACGTGATGCTCTAAAAAGCCGCCAGGCAAACAGACCTACAACTACCTTAAAAAAAAAACAAATTGCATTGCCACGCGGAACTTTCTGTAGTATTTTATATTGTACTTGTACCATTGTACTCTGATTTTAATGTTAATTCATAGCAACACGACATTGAGGACAGCCTCAAAATAAAAGAATTCGTTATCCTCTTTTGTTCCATAGATATCATAACCCTTTGCAACCGGGAGTTAAAAAATTCGCATACATTAGTAAGAACTTAGAATACGTTAGGAAACTGTTCAGGTGTCATGGAAAAATTACTGAAAAAATCACAAGGAAGCTGGTCTTCAGCAATCAGACCCTCACATACGTGAGGCTCAGGAATAATTTGCTAGTCGCACGATCGTGAGTGTATGTAAATAATTAATGATTTAGGTCATATAAATGAAATAATAAACATCAATTAAAATAAAACATGAATATGTATGTTTTCCTATTACTTTAATCAGTCTGTATTACAATTATATATAAAAATAAACTGTAGTTATTTATAAAATCACGTATAACAAATGAGATCTTCTTAATTTCTATAATCGGAACAAAAATAAACTATAATTACTTCAACAATCAACAAGATCTTAGGTTTTACTTATTACAATCAATGAGATCGACTTATTATTGTATATGATAAGCCTTAAAACAATTTTTATCACGGGATAAGCATAAATACACATTACATTTATCACACCTAATTTTTGAACGACTGCTGCAGGTTTCCAATCTACAAGTCCTCAGCGCTTTTATGTCGTCGCTGGTGGGAAAATGCTCATACCCATCATATCGTTTTTCTGCTGACGGTCTATTTGCTGGTCTGTATATTTTATAGTCGCGACGAGGAGATGATACCTGGTCATCATCTTCACTATCCCTTCGAGTTCTACTTGGTGTACAAGATAAGGCATCTGCCACATCCAAGCGGAAATCGAGTAAAGGCATTGTACCTTTCCTTGCATAATTGTTTCTATTGCAGTCGTTTCTATACAGTCTCCAAGAGTTTACGAGTGCGAGGTGAAAAAAGTGTGTTAACAATTTTAAGGTCCATTTTTTTGTTTTTATAAAAGTTCTATAACACTCCATCTGCTGATCCAGGACGTCAACTCCTCACATGTGTTGATTATAATTTTTTACTATTTTTGGAGCAGTCACGTCAACGTACAGTCTAATGGTTTTATCCCACCTTTTAACGATAATCGTCGCGGCAGAGCCAGTACAGTTGGATGCAAGTAATACCGATTTATTATCTTTCAATTTTACTATTGTAACAGGTTCGCAAACAAAATGTTGGCTTTCACCACGAGTCATTTGTGAATCAATTTTAAATTTTATTGTAGCTCGGTCAGGGATACGATTTAACATTATTGTTCCAGTCAAATGCAGATTTAACTTGTTCATTTCTTCAATCAAAGGAACAGTGGTAAAATATCTATAGTGGTAAACGCAGCTACCTGGGGGAATACTTTTAGCTAGATGTAAGATTACCGAAGGACCCAGACCGAGATTCGTATCACCAAACATCGTCCTTGCACCCCTGTATAACTCAAAATCTAGCATTAATCCTTCACTAGTTGTGAGGACGAAGTTTTTAATCCCCACAGGCCTAGGTTTGTTCTTCACTACCTGACGAAGTTGACAGCGGCCTGTAAACGGTATCATCTGCTCATCGATCGAGTAAAATCCCGGCACCCTTTCTAATTTACTACAGGCACCTTTAATTTGGTCGATCATAGGTTGAACCTTCCATAGTGGATTACCAGTTTCGGATGCAGATGGAGAATCTGAGTCAACTACGTGTAGTGAATTGCGAATGGTAAAGAACCTGTCCCGTGAAATTAAACCACTGACAATTTCCAACCTAGTACCAGCTCTCCAATACATAGGCAGTCGGGGATAAGGAACACAACCCATGATTATTTGTATTGCAAGGAGCTTTGCGATCTCACTGCTTGTACTTTTCAATTTACGGCCCGTAGTACGTAAGTAATATAAGTTAGTGCAGTGAGATATCCTTTCTATAAATTCGTTATCTATGTAGTCACGAAAGTAGTCGATAGGACGCCTTACTACTTTTTTAGGCAAGGGAAGATAGTTATGCAGTTTATCTACAAATGGAACTTGCTTCCATATTCTTTTCCTACCACTTGATGTTGATGCCGATCTATTCCCTTGAGAACATGGTGTTGACACCGATTTTCTTCCCCGAGGACTGGTGGTTTATCTCGATCGCTCAGAGGATAAATATAATGACCTTTCTCGATAACGACGCGACGTGGATGATAATGATGGGCAAGACGGTTGCATTGTTGATGGAGACTACGTCCTTGGTGGAGGAGGATGTTGCGTCATTATTGAAGCAGGAGGTTGCGGTGTCGATGTAGATGGACGTTGCACTACCGGAGGACACTTCAATAGTGAGATTTGGTGGCTTGTTTCTTCATCTGCATTAGGATTGTCACCATCGAAGAGATTTTCGCAAGCCAATTGATCAAATAGGGTATTTGGTTCAAATTCCAAGTCGTCATCTTCAAAATCTTCAATCTCCGTTAGGTTTCCGTTCATCAATTGGTCTAATATTACATCATCCGTAATTGGAATCCCTAATAAAGAAAAAAAGGCCATTTAAACACTGTATAGGATCAAAATAACAAAATGTAACAACATCACGTGTACAAAATGTACAACTGATGTTGCATGATCGTGCGTGTTCAATTTTGACAGAAAATAATTACAAAACTAATGCTTCAATATGCAAAAACTTGATAAGTAAACCTACGGGAACTCGTATCTAATCAAATAGCATCAAATAATATGAAATATCCCAATACAATTACTAAAAATCGATCTACTTACGTGCGGTGGCACCGGGATTAAAAAACGCAGCCATCCCTCATGCGGCTTTCGACGATCTGGCAGGACGAAACGCGCGCGCAGAGACTAAAACTATTTTTTGTCTCATTTTTACGAATTTTGTAAAGTCGAAACTCACGATCAGTTTAACTCTGGTGGAAAGGGATAAGAGACAACAGCTATAGGAATTGCTAGAGAGATCTTATAACTTCCGATACGTGGCAGTATAACCTAACACGCTTACCGTTACAGCCTATTGACGTCCACTACTGAACAAATACCTCCCCCAAAGATTGCCTCATAGAGAGGATATTTAACGATTTCTTATATTTACGCGAAGACTACACATCAAATTAAACTAATTTTTTAAGGATTTTATCACGTTTAATTTAACTTTTTAATTCCCGACTTTTCGGGTGCTTTACAGCACCCATGGTCACGGAGGGGGGGGGGGGGGGGTTGAGGTGTTTGAAGTGTGACTTAAAGAAGTAAGAGGATATTTGCCATAGCGGGTTGGCAACCGCAGTTTTTTTTTATTCGTTATTAGGATGACGATTTGTTTCCCTCTGTTGCCTCTTACGATACCTCCAGGATGATATGGGGTAGTTGATTCTTACACCGCCACTAAACGGTAACATTATCACGTTTACGCCAAGCGAATAGCCAGAACAAACAGACAGCAGCGCCAAAGGTACGGGAGATCAGATACTGTGACCGCCAATCCGACTGTTAAGCATGGAGTAATGAGGCAAATCCTCCCTACAAGGGAGAGTCTCATATTCAGCACTGGATTTTTAATAGAGAAAAGAAGTACTTAACAGAAGAAAATAAAGAAATTAACGTTTAAATTAACGACTTTTAGTCGTTTTTATTATCGACATTCAAATATTATTGTTAAACAATTGGTACTGGAGTTACTACATCTTTGATTAAGAATCAAACTGAGTAAAGATGTGTTGTCACCCCGAGGATGGTATGCCTCGTTGTCGGTAACACGGCTCACAGTCTTTCGTTACAAGTTGAAGGAAAGATGCTATTTTACACTGGTATGTAGGAGGACCCATTCGTGTAATAGCTTTAAAAGCAGCTTCTTACCTCTTGACTCTACTTCGTAAATAGTGCCATTTAAAAAGGATGGCGCATTATCAAAAAGTAAACTTGGTAAGTTTATTTATACTCAATTAAGAATCAAAATGCAAATGCGTTGTCACCCCTGAGGACTACGATGTAATGTCTCATTTGCCGTAAAAAGGATCACCAGTTCTCTATACTTACCGTACGAAGCACAACAGCATTCAGCTGCTACTTTACGCTGGTATTCTGTGACAGCGTTCTACTATCCCAGTCGAGCCAACAGTCAACCCATTCAAAATTCAACCCTAATATAGTTGTATCTCTACCACTTAAAGTTACACAGTTATTAAAAGTTATTTCTTACCCCTTTTGGAGTAAGGCATATCACAATCTCAATGTCGTCAATATATAATAGTTACAATAAAAATTTCATTCTCTATTTTTCACCGTTAGCGGTGGAATTTTTCTTCAAATTTATATGAGTACATCCCTGAATTATAAACCTATTTAATAAAACAAGAATCCTCAAAATCGGTTTAAAATTGACGAAGATATCGCGCAACATAAATACAAAAACATACAGTTTACATTTTTTGACGTAGACTAAAGCCTTTATTCGTTTATTAATAAATCAAATGGAATCAAAAATTACCTTCACAAAAACCTCTATTTTCAGATGTTGTAATGCTTTTGGAACTACGCTTCTAAAGGCTGTGGCCAAAAGCGGCTCAAGAATCCTAGTCGAAATATATAAGTATCTACTTGTTCTACATCATCATTATTCATAAAATTCCACTGTGGTGACGTACACGTGGTAGAGCCATGCTGCAGCTATATTAGTAGTATAGTTGTAGCACGAATGGGTCGGCTCGACCGGGGAAGGACCACGCTCTCACAGAATACCAGCGTAAAATAGCAGCTTAACACTGCTGCGTTTCGTATGGTGAGTGTAGAGAACCGGAGACCCATTTTACTGGAAAAGAGGCATTCCATCTTAGTCCTCAAGGGTGACAACGCATCTGCATTTTGTTTCTTTATTGAGGATAAATGTAGATGTTTATGGGTCACAGTGACCACTTACCATCAGGTGGACTGTGTGCTCGTTTATCATCCTATCCTATAAAAAAAAAACATAATCTTCCATCTTGATAGACGTCATTTTTCTGGGCTTCCCTTACGCCGCGTTGGTACGGTTAACTACATGATGTCTTTTTGAAATATTTTGAATTCGAAATTTTAATTTCTGTATATTCTTGACGTTAAAATAATATTCTTTATATATTGCAATTTATCTTTTGAACAGGACATGATGCAAGACTTGATAATCAACTTACCGCAGGACCATTTGAAGCATATGAAGATGTTCCTTAGTCAACGCACACACCTCGCTAAGGATCCGGATCGAGTCATTATCTTAGTTTCACCTGAGCTCAATATTGGTACAAATTAATTGTTTATATAATTCTTCTGTAATGCTTATTCATTGTAGTTATCAAGTTATTGTGTGAGCCTAGTGAAGTTCGCTACCATCATACGTGTCAGTTGGTGAAGGAAAACATCGTGAGGAAACCTGCATGTCTGAGACATAAGGAAAAAAAATATTTCAGACATGTGAAGTGCGTCAACATGCATTTCCATTGGGAGAAAACCCTGTCATAAATGAGAGGAGGCCTGTGCCCAGTAGTGGGACGTATATAGGCTATAACTTTAACTTTTTCAAGAAAGCAAAATCCCACGTGGATTTCGCTTATGCCATAAATAGAGACAAGAAGATACTGAATTACTTATACCATTATACAAGCTTCTGTGATGGGCAACGCACCATTGGATGTTTTATTTTGTAGAAGTAATCCACAAAATATGCGTAAGAATATAATCTTTGTATAATAACACTCATGATTTTCAGATACAAAAAGCATCGTCAAAGACCTAATTAAAGACCTTGGTTTCTTTGTAATCACACGCCGCTACGTGATGGATCGCTACGAGGAGGTGACTATCGAGACGCTTATCTGCGATTGTACATCGATTTCTGTTACGAAAAATAATTAGCGTTTTTTCACGTTTTAGAGCGATAAGTACGTGCCGGGTTGCGTTTCGCCGGTGCTGATGGCCGAAGTCACCAAGTCTCTTGTGACGAAACATCCGGTAGCACAGGGGAGTTGGCTCATGTTTGGTAAAATATGTGAATATAAAACTTACTTTGTCATCATCATTAAATCCCTTCATAAGTCACTGCTGAACATAGGCCTCCCCCAAGGAATGCCACAAAGCACGGTCCTGAGGCACCCGTCACCACCGACTTCCTGTACTTACTTAACTTGCTTACTTTGTATTACTGTATAATGCAGGATAAGTATACAAAATCAAGTGACGTATGTGGTCGTAACAGATTTCATCAACTAATTTCGACCCGTAAGTATCATAAGAGACGACTACAGAAAATTTCAAAAAAAATTATGTATCACGGTTTGCGATGGATAGCGGCAGGACTATCTCACGCCAGATGTAGAAAACCTGAAAACCTAGACAGACTGGGGGCTGCGTCAAAAGTGCGAGGAATCTAGTTTTCTCATTGGCGATTGTGGCAAAATCAATCACTTACAAAGAAGTATACATAATAATAAGAAGTAGTTTGTTTAGCTTATAAAAATATCTGGAATTTTAATCAAATCCGGAATAATAAAGATTGTCATGACAATTGTAATTTTAATTTAATTTGATTTATGTACATAAATTAATTGATTATTGTAGTTAAGAAACTAATGAAATAATAAATATATTATGCAAAATAAGTTTTGCATGTCACATGGTGTAAACATGGCGACTACGTACAACTGCAACTATTATCGTTATGGGTGGGGTACATTTTTCCTTCGTATATTTTTATCGTTAAGTACCTAAGTTTTAAATAATATATAAAAATGATAAACGAACAAAGAATCTACTTGATAATGGCTTTTAAAACCCGTTAACACCTTCAACTAAGACAAACAAAAGATGAATTGCCTTACAGCCTGAAATTTTCTGTGTCTCGTACTCTTCAAAATGGAACACAGCAGATGGGTTGATACTTGGCAACAGATATAGGTAACAGGATTTTAACAATCTTGACGGATTAGTAGGCAGGAAGCAAGCCCTACCAGCAAGAAGAACGTCGGTAGCAGGCCTCATTGCATATTTCTGCCGTCAAATGGCAGTGCCTGCGCTTCATTTTCCGTCCTGAAGTGCTTAGGCAACCACTATAATTACCGTGAGGTATTCCATATTAGTCCTCAGAAGTCACAACGTATCTATAACCTACTTTATTGGAAGGTATCCATACATTACAGTAGCCATTTACCATCAGGTGGGCTGTATGTTCGTTTGTCCCTTTTCAAAAGGTGATAAGTTTTATACAAAAGGACCTTGTGCCCCTAGACCACCCATGTACAGTCCGTGAGGCGCGTTGCCTGCAACAGTTGGGCGTGTTGCCAACCGTCACGTTAGTGCTGATGCCTCCGCCGCCACAGGCTCCGCGGACAGAGAACCCACACACGCCTGCTCGCGGGTTCTTCCAGCAGGACTTCGAGGGACTCAAATTCGCTTACAAGGCTACATTAAAGGTTTGTGTTATTGTGTGAGATGATATTTTTTATAAATGTCGACATTAGATAAGTTTTGCTATTGATCCCTTAATTCACACAGCCTAGGCTTAACCTATGTTAACTTTAGACTAACTAAATTTAGACAAAACCTATGTTTTGTCTAAATTTTAAGCGGTATTTCCGTACGCAGACGCTGCTGCCCATCTCCTTGTTTCTTTCTCTCTGCCGCCTCTAACCTACTACCTACGGTACTATATCGGGTAGTGAATATTCTACACTACATGGTATTCATTAAATTTTATTCGCCATTTTGTTTCCAATCGTAATTACATGAACTTTCTTCACAGCTTCCTTACGTAAGTGAATCAGTCACCACGATAGCAGTTCGCGAAGTTAGCAATGTTATTATAACGTAGCTCTGGTTTAATCACAGGTCTGAAACAGTTACAGGACCGGACTTAGTACACTTCCTTGTGGCACTCCTTTTATTTCCTTCGACGTAATATAACAATCTTTTTGTTTGACGCAGTATTGCTTTGATCTCCTCAGGTTATATATTTCATTGATTAATCTCCTCTCTGACAACAGACTGTGATTTGTTGCTACGTATAGGAGGTCCACATCCATCCAAATGAGGACACGAAGGCGGTGGAAGCGAAGTGTGTGAATGCAATTCGTGCGTCAGCGGGCGGGGCTCAGGGAGCGGGTCAGTCGCTACAGGCCTTGGGTGCTCCCGGAGTGTACCGCGTGCTGCTACTGGGTCCGCGCGGTAGTGGCAGAAAGCGGCAAGCAGTTTCGCTCGCCGAACGCTTTGGACTCGTGAACTGTGCGTTTTTAACGTGAATATACGTCTTTAAATTTGCTTCCCTAGTGGGGGCGATACAGTTTGGTGTTACAGCTACATATCAATCATCTACATCCGAAATTTTATTACACCACTCGATAGAAAGGATCAAAGAATTCGTTACGTGCGAGGAATGTTAAGCCGCGTATCGATTACGCGCTTCTGGCGCGCGCGCTTTTTAATGACCGCTCCGACCAGTGCACTCCGCGGAACGCGCGCTCGAAATGTTCGAAGTGTATCATCTAAGCGCTCCAGGCGCGCGCTGCAGCCGCTCCAGTGTTTGATCGTTCAACAAGGATGTCGGTCGTATACGAGCAGCTGCCTCTTTCATAGCTCCAAGCATCTTCTCTGAGCGCTTTTTATGATAAAAACGACTTTTACTATTCCACAGCAGATCTTTTAAACTATATAATTGTATTAATTTACGGCAACTTTGGTTATACATAGCTTGGAACGCAACGTACACACAAATAATGAAAACAAACGTCCCAACTGGCGCGCGCGCCTAAACTTAAGCTACTTTGATGCGCGGTAAAAAACCAACACAAGATGGAGCGGCCCGCTCCACGTTCGAGCGCTCCAACGAACAATTTGGCATCCATTTAGTGCGGCTGGATCGCGCGCCAATGTTCGACCTCTTGGAGCGTGTAATCGATACGCGGCTTAACGAGACTCGCGCGGCAAAGGGAGGAGCGCAGCCATTTAGAAGTCGTTTCGCTGCACGTATGTAAAACACACAGTCATGTGCACGACTAAGTGGTAGGACCCTTTTTCTGCCTAGAAGTCCGTCTAAGAATGTGGGTTAATACATGGCAGCAGAAATAGGTTGGTAAGAGGGTGTTAACAATCCTGACGGACTCCTAGGCAGTAAGTGAACCATACCACATAGAAGGACGTGGGTGGTAGGACTCGTTTTCTGCCTAAAAGTCTGTCTGCTTAGGTACCATCCTTTTATCTATCTATCTCTGTCGCCAAAAAGCAGTGCTTGTAGTACTATGTTCTAGTCTGAAGTGTATAGAGAGCCAGTATGATTATAGGCTGTGGTGTATTCCGTCATAGTCCTCAGAAGTGTCAACGCAACTGAAGTTAGTGTACATGGGCTGCAGTAGCTACTTACCATCAGCTGAACTGTTCGTTTGTCACTTAAGTTTTATATAATTTAAAATGAAAAATTTTGTACAACCGACTTCCGACTTCAATATAAATTATTAAGAATAACTCAAAAACTATTGGACCAGACATTGATCAAATTTATATGAGACCACATGTGAAGCACTCAGCTTTCATATATAAAAAAGAATCATCGAAATCGGTTCACCCAGTAAAAATTTACGAGGTAACATACATAAAAAAACATACAAACTCAATTCGACTTTGAGTACCGTCTTCTTTTTGAAGTCGGTGGAAAATACAAGCGATCCGCTCCGACTTCGCACGGGTGATATCTCGATCCCTACTATAGCGCCACCTACCGGGTCCAATTATGAATCGTTTAGAATTTAGATCATCCAGGGATCCACTCTAACACACACAAAAAATTACATCATAATCGGTCCAGCCATTTTCGAGTTTTTTCGAGATTGACAGACAACAATTGATTTTTATACATACAGAGAAAAGAAAGTAAAAATAGAAGTAGAGGTTACAAACTTGCACACAGGCCGATTGACAGTGAGTGGATTATGCTCTGGCAGGCATCTAACGGTGGGAAAACGTTACATTTATATTTATAGGCACATAACCAACCAGTAAGGCGTTAACAGACAATCAAAATTATAACAGACAAAAATTAACCATTTTAGTGAACTTCGACGATCTTTACAAAGTGGCCATGCTAGGAGAAGACGAAATAGGTGAAAAACTACGTAACTACGGCTGTAGCAATCGGCTAAAGGCCGACATTGTAAGGCGTCGGTTGGCCAAAAAGGTATAATTTTAACCTTATTTACTTACACAACATTTTTCAGGTAAATGCATAGCCTCGGAGCCGTACTCTCTGTGGCTCAAATATTTGTATCCCACACGGAACAAACATTTGTATAGCCTACAAATACTTGTTTTGGGTCGGAAGATGCAAGAGAAAATCCTAGTGTCAAGGAGCTAACGTTTTAAAAAGATTTAAAAAAAATATCTTGTTTTAATCTTAAACTCTTAATTTTATAACTACATGTTATAGTTTATCGGCCTCGGACAAGATAGAAATGTTTCTAAATAAAGAAAGTAGTTCAAATCTAAACTTAACAACAATCCTTTATTTTTTCGTCAAGCATCTTAATTACTAATACTACCAGGCTCACATAACTGTTTCTAAATATATGTCCATTTAAATGAAAGAAGTAAAATAAATCGGTATATATACACTCGTACGTATATATACTCGTAAATTAGTCAATAGGCAAAGGCCTCGTCTTATTACTAAGAGGGTTTAGGCCTTATGGTGCAAGAAAGAGTGTGATGGGCAGTTCCAATGCGTGTAGCGAACTATACAATATGTCCGAGAAAAATTACTCCAACATGCAGGTTTCCTTATGACGTTTTTTTTTTACTGTATCACTGGTGCCATCAAATCAGAATTCCAAGTCTCGGTGCACATGTGAAGCGTGTAACATCAATACTATAATTTAATATTATAAAGAAAGAGTACGAATTTTGTGAGTTTGTGTATAATAAGTAAGGTAATCTCCTAATGACCATGGGCATATATCACGAGTATGTAAATATATTATGTCTAAAACTTTTAGATGATGATATTTATATGAAGTTGAACATAGTCGCTCAGTGATCAGTGAGGCTCATCGCCTCTTGACAGCTTTCATAGCGTGCGCTGTGTCAATAGTCAAAGTAGCACGAAAATAATGAACGGTTTTCTATTTACCGGCACGGCGACGGCGCCGTGGCTTCGTTTTTACACTGTGCCGGTGGCGTTGCTGTTCTACGCGTTACGTTTTTGGGGAGAACTAACACAGACTTCAGTTCTACAGCACGTATAAATGGTCTCGTTAAGTCGTCGTATTTGTTTGTTATATCTATTACATTTAAGACGCAAATATAATCAACGCAGAGAAGTCAAATTTTGACAGTTGCAAATGGACTCAAAAAATATATCAAATACTTCCGCATGAACGAGAAGATATTTCATCATTTCACAAGTCAATTTCGAGTCTCAATCTCAACGTGTCCCTTCTAATTCGGCCCGCGCGCACGGCTGCAATACGTGCAGCGTGCACAATACACATGCAGTTTTGCCGGCCGGCAACGAGTGGGACGCTTGCTGTCACGGCACTGGCGACGGCACCAGCGGTGGGAGTCATCGCATCGCATCGAAAAACATTCCATATATTTCATACATTTTTGCTTCCCCGGCAGCCGTGCCGGTAAATGGAAAACCGCGCTAAAGTTGGCGCGGCATTGACGGTGATGTCGGCGCGGGAGAGATATAATATAGATAAATCTCGAACCCGCGCATTTGCCCGGGCATTGGGCGGCAGGCCGCTAGTCTGTTAATAAAACAACTGTTTTAGGATTGCATTGATAACGGTTGGGTCCTCACTGGATACCCGAACTCCGGCGCCGACTTCGAGATGTTTGAGAACATGCCCACGCCGCCGAATCGGTTTGTAATATTAGTGTGTGTGTGTGTGTGTGCGCGCATGCGTGCGTGGCACATACACACACACACGCATACACACATACTCACACACACACACACACACACACACACACACACACACACACACACACAAACACATACAAATTAGTTCATAGAGGGAATATTTCGTTATACGTTTTTGTATACGTGGTGGAGCCATACTGCAAGTATATTAGTAGCATAGTTGTAGCACGAATGGGTCGGTTCGACCGCGGAAGGACCACGCTCTCACAGAATACCAGCGTAAAATAGCAGCTTAACACTGCTGTGTTTCTTATGGTGAGTGTAGAGAGCCGGAGACCCTTTTTACTGGAAAAGAGGCATTCCATCGTAGTCCTCACGGGTGACAACGCATCTGCATTTTGATTCGCAAACGAGGATACATGTAGATGTCTATGGGTTACAGCAATCAGGGTAATAACCCCTGGGAATAAGGTGATCGCCACCATGCTGGTTCTATGAAAATTCATTTAAAATTGTATAAACAAAATTATTGTTAAGTGAAATTATGTTTAAAAAAAAAGTCCCGCTGGGTTTCTTGCTGGTTCTTCCCAGGACAGAGGTATTTTCCGAACCAGTGGTAAATAAAATAATGACTTTCAATAAGTATTATGTAATAATCCATATTGAATAAAAATCATTCTATTCTATTCTATAGGTGGACTGTGTGCTCGTTTGTAACCCTATCCTATAAAAAAAAACGTGATAGAGCCATGCTGCAGCTATATTAGTAGTATAGGCTCGACCGCGGAAGGACCACGCTCTGTCAGAATACCAGCGTAAAATAGCAACTTAACACTGCTGTGTTACGTATAGTGAGTGTAGAGAACGCAAAGACCCAACCAATAATAATATAACGAATTTCAATACTTACCTATTATTCATTGCAAACTTTCATTGCAAATGAATAATTATCCAATGGAAAAATTATTTGGTTTTTGTATTTTATGATAAAGGATATCTCAATAAAAGTTTCGACCAATTTCCTTTGTCCATTCACACTAAGAACGATCTAGTAGACAAAGAGTGGGTAATTATGTACTTGTCAGCCTAAAGGCGTAGATCGTGTACTCAGATAAGAACAACTTTCAGTGCCATGGCTGAGATAAATAATGTACTTTCTAAGTGAAAGTGGACCGGCACAACTGTTCTGAACACTATCATTTATATGAAAGAAGTATACTATTTCAGACTGTGAACGTACAGCAATATTTATGATATGACCTAGCTATTTAGTTGTAGATATGAAGATAATTATTATGTTAAAACTTAAAATGCTTCGTTCTCGTTTAAACGTTTTATTGTGTATGTAAAATTAGTCAAACGTTAAACAGAAATATAGGTCTTCTAAATTTAGAATTTTGATCAAAAGTCGGAATATGATGAAATGGAAACTCGATTGCATTGTCATTTTGAGCAGATGAAGGGTTTGGTAATATGTAATAGAATACCAGCGTAAAATAGCAGCTCAATGCTGCTGTGTTTCGTATGGTGAGTGTAGAGAACTGCAGACCCTTTTTACTGGAAAAGAGGCATTCCATCTTAGTCCTCATGGGTGACAACGCATCTGCATGTTGATTCGTAATCGAGGATAGATGTAGATGTCTATGGGCCACAGCAACCACTTACCGTCAGGTGGACTGTTTGCCCGTTTGTCACCCTAATCCTATATATATATTAATGAAATGGGTTAGTTAAAACTGTTTCCTGTGTTGCTAATAAATAAGGCCTTTTGATTAATTGAAAAATTAATTAAAATATTTGTAGTGATCCAAGAGCCACTCTAGCCGCACCCGTTGATAATATAACTACTTAATGGAATCAGGTGTTACACAGCGAAAATCCATTACATAATAGATGTTAAAAGATGGTCGTAGCTATAAGATCCGCGTAATCAAATAAAATGAAGTGTGTTACCTACAGGGCCGAATTAACCTTTAGGCAGAGTAGGCGGGCCAAAATACTTTTTGATGCCTAAAAACCGGTCCCTTCGGGTGAATTTCACTTTTTATGGGAAAACAGTACTAAAACAAACTGTAAGTTCATCAATTCATAAATTTAACACTAATTCCATACTTAACAAAATAAGTTATAATCAAAATTTATATTATTTATTTGCAAATTACGGTAACAACGTTGTCTTTCTTAGTAACGCAGTTGTTCTTCATACAAAATATTACTGTCTTTGAGCACCAGTCTCATGATGTAAAGAGCAATCTTTCATAATATCTTCTAGATGGCATTGTTTCTGAATGTCATTATCAAAAATATACGCTTTGGACCTTATTACAATTACAATAGCTATTTTTTACCTAAAACGTGTAATAAAATAAAAAATACTTTGCACTGTGTCCCCAACGATAAATAAAATCTTAGCTACCTTACGTGGCTTATGAAAACAAACCTTAAAGTAAGTGTATTAAAATTTAATGTACTATATTTTGTTCGACTTGTTGTAACTCTTAAAATAAATGATAGCCGCTGCGCGGGGGCAGCACGCTATCCGAATCAATCGCTTCACAGTTGTTGGGAGAGGTGCGTGTGTTTATTGCGTGGCCGCTGAGTTACCGCCGTCGAATAGTAAGTACTGACGATATTTGCATTATTACTAAACTCAAACATAATTAATTAGGTATCGGTTATGACAGTGACTAAATGTCTGCATTTTGTTTTTCCATTAAGTGCACATTAACGATGTAATCAAATATTTACAACTGCGTTACTGCTACACTTCGATACCGTAAAAAGTAACGCAGTTGTTTTAAGTGTATTTTTTAGGCTAGTTATATATTGTTATAACCAAAATACCCATAATTAGCTTCTTTTTATTTCAGGAAGTACCTTTAACACTAAATGGCTTTGACACACGCTGAAAAGTAACGTCGCATAGGCTTAAGTTAAAGCAGGAGCTCATAAAAATGCTGAAGCCAAAAGAAAACAGCTTGAGAGGTACCACGCGAAAAAACACTAGTAAAAGATATGACAGAGCGAGAATATAGAGCTGCCAAGCGTAAATGAAAGCCTGCGGATAAGAAACGATGAGAACGTCAAAAAGTTGCTCAACAAATTACGGACGTAATGTCCCTTCCACCCCGCGTTCGGGAACTCTAGTTTGACCTAGTTCTAGAGGTTGAAGACAAATACGACGAGACAAATCTGCATTATAAAGAAAAAAATCTAAAATTCCAGGAATGCCTGGAAGAACTGACAAGAAAGTATAGTAAATACAAAAAAAAAGATGCCAAAGAGCTAAAAAGTCAAGCAATGGTTCTCAACATAAGAAATATTCTACCTTATCCAATGCCATCAAAGATCATTACAAGAGCTTAAAGACAGTAAAAGAAAAGGTAACCTTGAAACGAATTTTTTGAAGGAAAATTCATTTCAATCTCAAAAATGAAGACTGATATTGTGCGTGAGGCTTTGGGCATTGATCAGGTGAAACAAAAACAGACAGTAGTTGATTTCGCCAAAGAGGGTATTGCACTTGCATGATTCAAAAAACATATCAACCAGTTGCTGTTCCCGTCATTGACACAATCAGAAAGACCAATTATTCGGATAGATTGAACGACGAAGAAACCCTATCTAACATATCTAATATTGTTGCCTTATCTAAAAGAACTTACTTTAATACGGTTTATTCCTCAACTTTCAGCTCTGACAACGAGCTTATTGCTAACTTTGCCTAACCATCAGTTTCTAACATAAAAGAAAGGCAGTTAATTAAAAAGGATAATGTTAATCAATTAAAAATATCAGACGGAGTTCATGTTTTAGTAAAAGTTTCCAATGTTAAAAACAGACATTATGCTTACCTAGGTGTCGCTATAAGTGATGTAGATGAAGAGGGAGAAGTCAAGATTATGTTTTATAAGACTGTAGATAGTACTGACAAAAAACTGATAGTTCTTACGACCCTACGATAATATGTTGAAAATTGTTTCTAACTCAAAAATTACATTGGACAGTAAACGGGTACTATGATTTTGATAAACCACTGAACGTTTTTGAAAAATAAGACTTATTAGAAAATGTGCCTTATTAATTCTTTAAGATTGATTTACGTTTGTTAATTTGTTTCAGTGCAACTGACTGAAAGAGACTAGTTTATGAGAGAGAACACTATTTTTTTAGTTTTAATTTAGCTGATGATACCAGACTTTTTGAGTTATTTTATATTATGTCAAGTTATAAAAGTTTATTTTATATTTTGTTTTCTAACCAACCAGATGTCCTTGGAAAGTTTGTCCAAAATATTGTATGTGAAATACCACTGTGTTACTATGATTACCACTGCGTTACTTACCTGTCCCCAATTTTATTACAGTATTTACAGTAATATACAAGCTTCTGATTAGTTAAAAATGTCTTAACATAATACGTAACAATTGTTCATCATAAATTAAAGCCTCTGTGTCCAGTTTCTATTAAATTTTGTATTTATTTTGTTTTTATTAGAAAAGTTAAAGTTTTTAATTAGGACTTTGGTAACGCAGTAATATAAACAATTGAAAAAATTTTGTGGAACTAATTATTTTTGTGATTTTAACTTTATGAGAGATCAGTATTAGTTCGAAAGTTTAAAACTGCCATATTAGTGCGACTAATTGTAGAAATTTATTAATAAATATTAAATATGTAGTAAAGTAACGCTGCTGTTTAACTTTTCGACCGCTTAGTGTATAAATTGCCGTAAATATAGTTAAATCCTCAAAATCATCGCTGCAGATGTATCGTTATTATAAATCAAACTATTACGAATCTAAATCAACATTCAAAAATAAGAAAATATTAATTTCAATTTATTATTATTTTATAAAATCTTCTGCTCTAATTAGGCATAGAAAAGAATTTTGGCCCAGTGCAACTGCCTAGGGGCCCCGCATTGGGTAGGGGCCCCGTGCGCGCACAAATATAATGGAAAATGTTTCATACAGAGAAAATTTTATTAGAACATTTGTAACCCGTGTAGTGGCGGAAAAGAATACTCACTACCCCATGTCTTCCTGTGGGTGTCGCAAGAGGCGACAGAGGGAAACTGAGGCAGAGGATGGGCAGCAGCATCTTTCTGATAATAGTAAAACAGCAATAAAAAACTGCGGTTGCGAATCCGCTCGCCAAGCGTGGCAACTATGGCAACCCCATGAGAGTAACGAAGAGACGGCCCCCAGTCCCCGGCGGAGCCGCTATTCCTGGCTACGGTGGTGACCATGGTAACGGCGGGGCAGGTAATGCTAAGAATCTCCGGTGGAGGTTCGGTTGCCACCTACGACGACTCGACCTGGCAACTTATAACGCACGCACCCTGAGGACAGACGAGAAGATCCTGGAGCTGGAAGAAGAGATAGACAAGTTGCACTGGAATATCATAGGATTATCCGAGGTCCGAAGAGAGGGGGAGGACACGGTAATCCTCGAATCCGGCAACTTGTTCTATCACCGGGAGGGCGACCATCTGCCCCAAGGAGGTGTCGGATTTATCGTCCACAAGTCTCTCGTTAACAACGTTGTAAAGATTGAGAGTGTGTCGACGAGGGTTGCGTACCTTATACTCAGAATCACCAAACGGTATTCGCTGAAGGTCATACAGGTTTACGCACCAACCTCGGCACACCCCGATGAGGAGGTGGAGGATATGTATGAGGATATCTCTAGAGCCATGCATTCCTCCAAAACCCACGGTGTTAATGGGAGACTTCAACGCAAAACTAGGCACAAGAGAGAACGGTGGGCTGAAAGTAGGGAAATTCGGAATAGGGCAACGGAACCCAAGGGGCCAGCAGCTGGCCGACTTCATGGAGAAAGAGGGATTCTTTATGATGAACTCTTTCTTCCAGAAGCGGCCCCACAGGAAGTGGACCTGGTCGAGCCCCGACGGTTCGATAAAAAATGAGATTGACTTCATTATGACGACCAGACGATAACTGTTCAGTGATGTCTCATTGATCGCGAGGGTGAAAACCGGCAGCGATCACCGAATGGTGAGAGGCACACTGAACCTAAACGTTAAGTTGGAGAGGTCACGTCTAATGAAGTTAACGCTCCGTCCCCCTTGTGCTCTAATTCAAAGTCCCGAAACCTTTCAGCTCGATCTACGAAACCGTTTTCAGTGGCTAGAAGATTGCAATGCAGTAGACGATATGAATGACAAGCCCGTGGAAACTGTCCATGCTGTCGGAGCTAAGTTTTGTAAGACCCGCCGCAAAAGAACACAAAAACTCTCCGATCACACTCTTAATCTCATGGCTGTCAGACGGGATATGAAGCTGCAGTCTTCAGTAGATTTGACAACATACAGGCAACTGAACAGACAGATCTCCAAATGCATGCGGCAGGACTTACGCAACTTTAATACTGCTCGTATTGAAGAAGCGATCGTGCGGAACCAGGGCTCCAAAGTCTTTGCTAAAGATCTGTCTGCCAGAAATAGCCAACTATCGAAGCTGAAGTTCGAGTGAGGCAGCGTCGTTTCCGGGACACCTGAAATTTTGAGTGAGATTGAGAGGTTCTATGGGCAGTTGTACACATCATCGTTGGAGCCACACGCAAGTGTGAGTAACGATCCAAGAGCGAGTCTTATCCGACATTATTACGATGATTTCCCGGACGTCGGTCTGAGCGAGATTAGAATGGCTCTCCAGCACCTTAAAAACGGCAAGGCCCCAGGCGAGGATGAAATTACAGCGGAGCCTCTGAAAGCTGTGGAAAATCGGTACTTGAAGTCCTTCAGAAGCTCTTTACTTCCGTCCTCCATGGTAGCATTACACCGGAGGCGTGGAGCAGAAGTGCGGTGGTCTTGTTATTCAAGAAAGGCGACAACGCTCTCTTGAAGAACTACAGACCGATTTCCCTTTTGAGCCACGTCTACGTGCTCTTTTCGAGAGTCATTACGAATCGTCTCGCGCGCAGACTTGACGACTTCCAGCCTCCCGAACAAGCCGGTTTCCGAAAGGGCTTTAGCACCATTGACCACATACATACCCTTCGGCAAATTGTACAGAAGTCCGAGGAGTACAATTTGCCACTATGTCTGGCGTATGTGGACTATGAGAAAGCCTTTGATTCAGTCGAAATTTGGGCGGTGCTGCAGTCCCTTCAGCGGTGCCAAGTTGACTGTCGGTATATCGAAGTGTTGAAGTGCTTGTACAGTAGGGCTACGATGGCTATCCGAGTACAGAACCAGAGTACGAAACGTATCCAATTGCAGAGAGGTGTAAGACAGGGTGACGTCATATCCCCGAAAATCTTCACCGCTGCATTGGAAGACGTTTTCAAGCTTCTGGACTGGAAAGGGTACGGTATCAACATCAATGGCGAGTACTTCACCCACCTTCGATTTGCCGACGATATAGTCCTTATGGCAGAATCCCTGGAGGACCTAAGCTCTATGCTCAATGACCTCAATAGTGTTTCCCAACGGCTAGGTCTTAAGATGAACATGGACAAAACAAAGATCGTGTTTAATGTCCATGTCACACCTATGCCGGTAGTTGTTGAGAGCACTAAGCTCGAAGTTGTTGACGAGTATGTTTACCTGGGACAAATAGTCCGACTAGGTAAGTCCAATTTTGACCGAGAGGTCAATCGACGGATTCAACTCGGTTGGGCAGCGTTCGGGAAATTACGGCACATCTTCTCGTTAGGTATACCTCAAAACTTGAAAACGAGACTGTACAACCAGTACGTGTTGCCAGTGATGACCTATGGAACTGAGACGTGGTCCTTCACTGCTGGCCGGATGAGGAAGCTCAAGGTCGCACAGCGAGCTATGGAGAGGGTTATGCTCGAAGTTTCTCTGCGTGATAAACTTCGAAATAAGGATATCCGCAGTAGAACCAGAGTGACCGACATAGCCCAACGGATTAGTAAGCTGAAGTGGCAATGGGCCGGCCATATAGCTCGAAGAACCGACAACCGATGGGGAAAAGGGTTCTCGAGTGGCAGCCTCGTACCAGCAGGCGTAGTGTAGGGCGTCCCCCTACTAGATGGAGTGACGACCTGGTAAGATATGCAGGAAGTCGATGGATGCAGGTGGCTCAGGACCGTGCTTTGTGGCATTCGTTGGGGCAGGCCTACGTTCAGCAGTGGATTTGTGAAGGGCTGTAATGATGATGATGATGATGATGAATAACTTCTTTCGGCTGCACAAAGAGCGGCAAAACCCTATATTTTTTTTTACATTAATCAGGCTTTTGATCAAAATCCTGCGACGTATACTGTTTAAAAATTCATACAAAAAAACTTTTTAGCCGAAGAGAAAAAAGAGAGTTCAGCCCGCGAACTGCCATAGATCTGTTCGGTTATTCCGTTTATCCACCCTAAAACAGCCACGCTAAGGTGGATACTCAGAAACGCGTGTTTATTTTTTTTTACGTGGTAGAGCCATGCTGCATCTATATTAGCAGTATAGTTGTAGCACGAATGGGTCGACTCGACCGGGGAAGGGCCACGCTCTCACAGAATACCAGCGTAAAATAGCAGCTTACCGCTGCTGTGTTTCCTATGGTGAGTGTAGAGAACCGGAGACCCTTTTTACTGGAAACGAGGCATTCCATCTTAGTCCTCAGGGCTGACAACGCATCAGAATTTTTATTCTTAATTGAGGATAAATGTAGATGTCTATGGGCCTTACCAACCACTCACCATCAGATGGACTGTGTGCTCGTTTATCACCCTTATCTTATAAAAAAAAATGTATCCACATTAGACGGGTATAATCAGAATAAATATTTTTTTTTTCCGATTTTCTCCTCCAGGCTATGTACAGTAATTTATAGAAACATGATAAAAAGTAGCCCAAGATACTTAGTAGAAATTAACATAACTATAAAAAATACATATTTCTTGTTTGAAAGGAGTGCCTACAGGACTACGAATTCATTTAAATCTTGTCATAAAACAATTCCAAATGAAATTAAAGACAAACATGTAAATTTAGTAAAGTATGAAATGTTTGCAAAAAATGTCCAGTTAGCAAAGAAATTTAGAAAATGATTGCAAATGTACATTAAAATAGACGAATTTATCTAGGATAAAATTAAGTCTACTGAATAATAAAATTAGTTTTCGTAATTTCCTGGACATATTGCAGAATTTATAAATGACATACGTAATAATATTATTTAAAACTAGAAAGTTTAATTTGATTTAAATGTAATATGTAATATGATTTTGTTTAAGGTTGTCGTTATTAAAAATTAATTAATAATTAAAGTGTATAAGTATATTTATTGCCGAACTGTACTTGAGTTAAAAAGTTGGAAGAACAATCAAAACTAAAGTCCAATTATCAGCCCTAGGGTAGATGTTTTAGAGTGGATAAATGAAATAACAGGATTCGTGTGGTAATACGGAGCTATTCTTTATACTGACTGATGTACTTCGGAAACTTTTTAAGGTCTAGATCTGTGCGCAACATTGTATAATTTATAATAAAAAAATATGTACAACCGACTTCAATATAAATTATTAAGAATAATTTAAAAAATATTTGTCAGACCTTGATGACCTTGAAGAACCAGCTTTCAAATAAAAAAAGAATCATCGAAATCGGTTCACCCAGTAAAAAGTTATGAGGTAACACACATAAAAAAACATACAGTCGAATTGAATACCGTCTCATTTTTGATGTCTGTAGAAAATGAAATCGACTTATTGCAAAGAAGACTACATAACTGTCAAATACAACCAGGGTTATATTCTTGAACGCGGACTGGAAGACGTGTAAAGATCGAATCCTCTCGCGCGGCGTGGACTGCTGCACGGGAGCACCGGCGCCGCTCGGGTCCGGGCCACGCGTGCTTGCGCACCCTGCTGACAATGAGGAGCAGCTGGAAAAGGAGGTTATATTTTTTTTATAAGGATCATAAACGTGCACTTAATCCATCTGATAGTAAGATACCACACACATAGACACCCATATCTCTCATCGATTAAGAATAAATAATTTAAAATAAAAAATGTTGTACTACCGACTTCAATATAAATTATATTTATTTATTAGATATAGATGTCTATGGGCCACAGCAACCACTTACCATCAGATGGACTGTGTGTTCGTTTGTGACCCGTATCCTATAAAAAAATCGAAATTTCTACTACGAAAGAGATTGAGACAATAATTTAAAATTAAAAAATTTGTACAACAGACTTCAATATAAATTATTAGGAATAACTCAAAAACTATTGGTCAGATCTAGATCAAATTTATTTATATGCGACCACATGTGAAAGACCAGCTTTCAAATAAAAAAAGAATCGTCGAAATCGGTTCACCCAGTAAAAAGTTATGAGGTAAAACACAAAAAAAATCATACAGTCGAATTGAGTATCGTTTCCTTTTTGAAGTCGGTAGAAAATTAGACTTAAGTTGAGGCCGACTTCAAAGAACTTAAAATATGAAAATTATTTTCGCATAATATAGCTTCAGAAGAATTCTATACATTATTTCTTATCACTGATTTTAGAAGCTCGATTATGTGCAAATTATTTTGTTCTAATTTTTTACCCTTTTGATATAAATCTAAAATATGTACTTCATTCCCTATTTTTCAACATTAAGGCTACGTTTCCTCCAGAGACGTGCGAGGTAGCTGGGCGGTGCGAGGATGCGTAGCGAGGCTGTGGAACGGTGTGAGCGTTTCCAACAGAGATGTGCTAGGCCGCTAAGCGGTGCGAGGATGCGTAGTGACGCTGTGAAACGGAGCACAGATGAACGGTGCGAGAATGTGTATTGTGCTGCCGTCCAGTGACTGCATTTTTTCGCTCGCGTTCGCCCCTAGCACACATCCCTCGCAACACGTACCTAGCACACAGCCCTAGCACACATCCGTCGCACGCATGAAGCAAATACAAAGATTAGCTTCATGGTCGCACGCATTCTTCCCTTGTTTTGTATGTACAAAAACCTCGCTCCGCTGAGCCGTTTCCACAAGAGCTACGCTGAGCGAGGCTAGGTTGTAAATGAAGTGATTCCATTGGTTCTTAATAAACACATCCCTCACCACGCATCCTCGTAATTTCTGGTGGAAACGCAGCCATAGAGGTAGAATTATTCTCTTTCTATTTAAATAAAGAATCATTAAAATCGGTAAAGAATAACATACAAAAAAAGAACATACACTCGAATTGAGATCCCTCTCCTTTTGTGATAAAAGAAGTATAATGTAGGTTACATTATACACTACAGCGAGCTGTTCTGAATTTTAAAATACTACGTAGGTACTATTTTTTATTCTGTGATACTACGCACGGCGTTACTTTTGTGTATGTTTCTTGGCCCTAACGGGAACTACCTATTAAATTAAACGAGTCAAATTTTACAAATTGGCGAGGATCAAGCTTGTTTTATTCAAACTAGTGGGATGTGGCAAGTAAAGACTTTAAGAACCTCCGAACGAGGCGGCGTTATAGCCGAAATAATTTTTTTTTGGTTTTTGGCCATTTTGACCCCCTAGGAGTGTAACGAGAACTTTTTGCCCCTATTCAACTATGACCCCCATGACATCCTCTACATGATAGGCTATTCAAACTGACTAGGTCTAAAGTTCGAGTCACACCCCAACTCATTTCTAGTATTTACTTCCAAAAACTATATCGATGATTTAGATGAAAAGATATGTTATAGTAATCCATGTAGGCAATGCAAGTCTCTAGGACTTTCTTCTTTGTTCCAACCAACTTTTAAAATCACTTATCATTATCATCATCATTACAGCCCGTCACAAGTCCACTGCTAAACATAGGCCTTCCCCAAGGAATGCCATGAAGTACGGTCGTAAGCCACCTGTCACTTTATCTAGTGGTTAGGTTACGGTCCGCCCTGCATTTCGCTAACCGGTACGATGCTTACTAGAGAACCTTTTCCATCCCCATCCATACATGAGGTTGCCTGAAGAGAAGAACTGGATGCCATACCACTTGATTAATCTTGACCAAGATAAAACTACGCTAAAATTACAATCTCTGAATTGTATATTACGTACTTATGTTGGTACAACATACACCCTTTTTTTTTTTTTTTTTTTTTACATGGGGAAATGCCTACGCATACCCGCCTCGCGGGGGCAAGGACGGGTTATGTCGGACTCGCACCGACTAAAACCCCATGGTGTTCCACACTCGTCGCATATTGGCAGGGCCACGGGAACGCTTTCGCACACTTCCGCGGCCCCACCTGCGCTGGCCGCCCCATGGCGGCCCCTCCTCGGGAGAGGAACACTCCTCCCCTATCTCCTTCTCAGGTAAGGCGCACCAGAACACATGGTGCGCCCTCCTCCTCGGCCTCCAATTTCCAATGCGCAACGGACGCCCCCGTGTCCGTTGCGCGAAGGCCATGGGGCCAGGAAAAACTAGCACTCAGAAGCACTAGCCTTCCTGACCCCAGCGGCGGATCTGGTCTTTGGCTCCGCCGCCAACCAAGATTCGGCTGCGGAGGGTAGGGAGAGCGGCGCCTCGCAATACCGACACTCCTCTCCCCCCGCAGCCCCACCACCACCGCATCAATTGACGTTGCGGCCCCGTCTGAGTCGCGGAGGATAGGGCGAGTGGCGCATCGCCATACCAGCACTCCTCTTCCTCCGCGACTCCACCTCGGCTGCAGCGGTAGAGGGTGCGGACTCCCCTCTCACCGCAGCCCCCCGACACACATCCGAAGTGGGCTTCCCAAGCCCACTCGGAGTGGCCACCTCGGGCCGGCCCTACACCACGGGCCAGCCAAGGGGTTCCTCTTTGTTCACCGTGGTTGACCAAGCCACGGCTACTAAGCCCCCCCGCCACGACAAGGCGGGAACCCGTTCGGGGGGGACAACATACACCCTAACCCAACCCCAGAGACAAAGAGGAGGTACTCAATGCGACTGTACGTTTCTTTTTTATGCGTCATAACTTCTTTCTAGGTGAACCGATTTCGACGATTCTTTTTTATTTGAAAGCTGGTGTTTCACATATAGTCCCATATAAATTTGATCAAGGCTGGTCCAATGGTTTTTGAGTTATTCTTAATAATTTATATTGAAGTCGGTTGTACAAATTTTTTAATTTTAAATTATTGTTGTACTAAAACTGTTGAGATTTTAATTTTTTATTTATCATTTCGTCTACAAGGGGTACGCGAGCTTGAACTCTTTTCCGAAGTGGTTAGCTGCAAAAATTGATAACCACTGGTTTATATATATTGGAGTGATTGTCTGTTTGCCACATATTTTACAGTTGGACGCATACTTTTCCGAAACTCTGGCAGAGCTCCGAGCAGCTGCCGGCATTACCGCTGTTGAAATAGACGCACTTAAACCTTTTGGTGAGTTTGAAAAAGTTAATTTTATCCTACTCTATATTAATTAATATTTAACGGCTCAGTGGTGCAGTGGCTGAGCAATGAGAAGCAATGAAGGCCGCGGCTTCGAATCCCACACGGAATATGCTTTCGATGTATATATAAAACAAAAAAAAATCCAAATCGCGTTTAGACGTCTTTAGGTAATCGGTGAACATACTGAAATATTTCCAAACTCCTTTTTTGAAGTCATTTGAAAATGGTGTTCAAGTAAAAAAAAAATAACCCTTTAACCACCACGCCATCGCCGCAATAATGGGGTTTTAAAAAACTAAGGCCAAGGGTTAAAAATCGATTATGTATTTTTGCAATTATCCAAGCTTTAAGATAGTTATAAGGGTAACATTGTTTATAGATTTATAAAAAATCCTGAGTTTTGGCGGGAAATTGACCGGCGGCGGTTTGCTGCTCCTGTATTATTGTTGAAATAATGGTTTGAAGTGGACTTTGATATGTAAAAGTGTTGCGATTTTGTGTATTAAGTGTCTACGCATGTGAACTATTAGTGGAAACAGTGAAACAAGCGCTCTGATGGTGATGGATTCTCAAGATAAGCTGTTTGTTTGCATAGGCACCTTTAGATACCATCGCCAACTATCAGCTGTCTGCTGGATCAAGTTGCCGCCAAAATCTCCCAAGAACTGCACAATGTGACGCATCAACATATTGTGAAGCAGTATACTATGAAGGAGTGGGAAAATTACAATAAACCGAATAAAAATACTTAAGACTTGGCCTAAAGGTCTAGATACCAGGCCATAAACTCCAAAAAAAATATAGAAAATCCTACGTTTTTCGGATAAAATACAGCCTAGATCACTCCTGGCCTTGGTGTCTATACGTTCGTGAAATTTCATGACAATTAGTACAGTTACTCTGAAGATTGGCCCGCACAACCAAAAATTTTAAATGTGTACATAGATTTGTACGTGGTAGAGCTATATTAGTAGTATAGTTGTAGCACGAATGGGTCGCGGGCACGCCACGCTCTCACAGAATACTAGCGTAAAACAGCATCTTAACGCTGCTGTGTTTCGTATGGTGAGTGTAGAGAGCCGGAGACCCATTTTACTGGAAAAGATGTATTTCATCTTAATCCTCACGGGTGACGACATATTTAGATTAATTTGATTCTTTATTGAGGGTATATGTAAGATATCTAGGGGCACACCAACCACTTATCATCAGGTGGACTGTGTGCTAGTTTGTCACCCTATTCTATAAAAAAAAATAGATTAATATTACGTACGTTATACTTTAATTCAATAGTAGTAAAGTAAAAAATGACTACTATCAATGGTATTTTTATTGGTTATAGATCAAGTTCAAACGGAAATTCAAGCAGCCGTCATGGCCGCACCAGCTTTCAACATTGAATTCGGTGCACAGCTGAGTAACGTCCGCGCCGATTAGACCATACCTTTGAAAGGGTAGATGGAAATTAAATAAATATATCTTAATAGAAAAATGTTTTATTTGTGTACTCCTTCGTACTTCAATTGAAATTATTTTATTTACTACATAATTAATTAATTACGAGCTAACAATTTATTCAGCAGTCTCAAAAACAATTACATACATTATACAACACAGAGGTAGTCTCAAAGGTGGAGCAGAGACATACTGCAGGGTCGTGGAAACAACAAATGAGGAAGACCCTTTAGAGAATTTTTTTACTATTGCCATTATACTAAAAATAAAAATGCATAATTTTTACAGCCGTAACACATTCGTACTTCCTTGCACACAGGTGCGCGATGGCGAGCCCGAACCAGCGTTGCTACCGAGATTTGGCGACGTTGTTACCATCGCACACACGCATACACGCACGCACTCCACACCAATAAATATACACAACACCAGCTACACTTTGTATCCATGCATCGTTACAGATTATGCACATCGGTGTTGCCAGCCTTGGTATAAAAAATCTACATTAGTGATGTCAGGTTAATAACATTTGAAGCTAAATTTAATAAATTATTTTTGGAATTTATAGGGATAATACGACAACACCGTGTTAATATTCTGTAGTGAGTTGGGATCACATTTGGCTAACATCACATTTTACAGTCTGTTAGGTTACAACTCGTCTTTGAAGTCATCATCATCTCCTCCAGCGCCCGGCGGCGGTACACCACCTTGACCCTGGTAAAGTTTAGCAATGATTGGCTGAACTACATCTTCAAGAGATTTCTTTTGTTTCTTGTACTCTTCTGCGTCTGTGTCCTGGTTATCTTCAAGCCATTTGATAGCGGCATCAATAGCTTCCTCCATTTTGGCTTTGTCGTCATCACTGAGCTGTAACAATTAAGAGTTTAATGAGTTTCTAGACAAACTCTTTAAATATTAAAAAGAAGTTGTATGATATTCAAATAGGCATGCAAACAGAGTTTAATCTCCTCCTGCACCAATGAAACTGTTAATTACAATTTTAATTACATATTATGTATTTATAATAAATATATAGTATTATTCATTTTATATATTTATGAGAAATCAGTACATTTCAAATGTGGTCTGTAGATCTTTATCAAGTTAAAAAGCCTGTTGCTCAGCAGTAGGACATATATAGGTTTTACTTTACTTTCTTTAGCGGCCTAAATTCAACAAGATTTTTTTTAAATTTACGACTCAATATATTAATCAAGAAATAACAAAAGACACCAACCTTAGCACCAAGTTTCTCCTTATCCTGCAGCTGGTTCTTAATTGAGTATGCATAGCTTTCCAGTTCATTTCTGGACTCGACACGCTCCTTTAGCTTTTTGTCATCGTCGGCAAACTTCTCAGCGTCTTTAATCATCCTTTCAATATCTTCTGGTGTCAGTCTGTTCTGGTCGTTGGTGATAACAATCTTTTCCCGGTTCCCAGTACCCTTGTCTTCAGCAGACACTTGAAGTATACCGTTAGCATCAATTTCAAAGGTGACCTCAATTTGGGGAATGCCTCGTGGTGCAGGTGGGATGCCAGTTAAATCGAATTTACCGAGTAAATGGTTGTCCTTGGTCATGGGACGCTCTCCTTCATATACCTGAATAGTGACAGTGTGTTGGTTGTCACTAGCAGTAGAGAAGATCTGAGACTTCTTTGTGGGAATGACGGTGTTACGAGGGATCAGCTTGGTCATGACACCACCAACTGTTTCAATACCCATTGTCAGAGGGTTGACATCAAGAAGCACGATTGCATCAGTGTCTTGTTCTCCACTAAGAACACCAGCCTGGACAGCGGCACCATAAGCAACAGCCTCATCAGGATTGATGCCTCGGGATGGTTCCTTACCATTGAAGAATTCTTTGACCAGCTGTTGCACTTTAGGGATACGGGTAGATCCACCAACCAGTACAATTTCATCAACATCCTTTTTGTTCATGTCTGCATCTTCTAACACCTTCTGTACGGGTTTAAGAGTAGATCTGAACAGATCCATGTTCAACTCCTCAAACTTGGCTCTGGTAAGAGTTTCTGAGAAGTCATCACCTTCAAAGAATGATTCAATTTCAATCTTAACCTGGTGACTGGATGACAGAGCTCTCTTAGCCTTTTCAACTTCACGACGCAGTTTTTGCACGGCACGGTTGTCCTTTCTGATGTCCTTGCCCTTCTTCTTCTTGTAAAGTTTGATAAAGTGCTCCATAACTCTCTGATCAAAGTCTTCACCACCAAGATGGGTGTCACCATTTGTAGCAACTACTTCAAAGACACCATTGTCAATGGTAAGCAGAGACACATCAAAGGTACCACCACCCAAATCAAATACGAGCACATTCTTCTCTCCTTCCTTCTTGTCAAGACCATAGGCAATAGCTGCAGCAGTAGGCTCATTGATTATTCTCATAACGTTAAGTCCAGCAATAACACCAGCATCTTTAGTTGCTTGACGTTGAGCATCGTTAAAGTAAGCAGGAACTGTAACAACTGCATGAGTAACCTTCTTTCCGAGATAAGCTTCAGCAGTTTCCTTCATCTTTGTGAGAACCATAGCTGAGATTTCTTCAGGAGCAAAGATCTTTTCACCTTGTGCAGTCTTAACAGCTATATGAGGTTTACTGTTCTTTTCAACCACCTTGAAGGGGAACAATTTCATGTCATGTTGTACAGTAGAGTCCGTCCATTCACGACCAATGAGACGTTTGGCATCGAACACTGTATTTTCAGGGTTGGTGGTGAGCTGATTTTTGGCCGCGTCACCTATGAGACGCTCACCATCACTTGTGAATGCTACGTAAGATGGTGTAATACGATTACCCTGGTCATTGGCAATAATTTCTACTCTGCCATTTTTGTAGACTCCCACACTGTAGACAAGAAAAAGGAAATGTAAGACTATAATATTAACAATAATTGTGAGTAAGACTTCTTCAACTATACTTTCGACTCAAACAATAAACTACAAGGCTATTAAGGAGTTTTTTTTATTAATTCAGTGTTAGTTCCAAAACCTTTTTTTACCTTTACCTTCCAAAAAATTAAACTAAGAGCAGTGTACATATTTTTTCTTAATTGCAATTAATGGAATGTAAGGGATTATGCCACATTAAATTTGATTTTTCGGGACTCACCAGAAGAATCCAAAAATAGTTAGTACCTTATTCATCAGTACTATTTAGCATAAGTTTAATAATTTTTACATTTGATTAAGACATTATTCTATATTTTATTTAAAAAAACGTTACCCCCACACTAGGGCATAGGTCCTGTATCGTGGAGGCAGTTTACAAACACAAATTGCACAAGGGCAAACATCCAGACCCGGAACAATTATTTGTACGCCATACAAATACTTGTTCCGTGCGGGATTCGAACCCGCGGCCCCCGGCGCAGCAACCATTGCTATACCACTGCGCCGTGATATTCTATATTTTAAATTTGGTAAAGTTTAAACTCCTTCCTATATCAAATATCTTTATAGGACAAGTATAACTGAACTAGCTGTATGTACTATAAAGTAAAATTGATTAAGTTTTAAGCGTAAACTACCTAAACTTTAAATAAGAGCAATGATATTAGACTTACCAAGAATACGTGGTACCCAAGTCAATACCAATCACGGTACCAATGTCTTTATCTTTCTCCTTCTTGTCGTCGGCGCAGACCACCGCGACAACGCACACTAACGCTAACAAGCTCCACCGCATTTTCACCATACAATAAACTTCTTTCACCTAAAACAATGAGAACAAAATAAGAAAAATTGTAAAATCACTCCAAGTTCAACGAATCTCATACGTCAAGGACACGTAACCTAAATGGGGACACGTCATACTTCACTAGTACCGGTAAAATGCTTGAAAATTTTAACAGCAAACACGTATCTTGATTAATGATTTAAACAATAGAAATTGAAAGTATTTAAATGAAATCAGGTTATAACGGAAATATAACGGTACGTGTTGAACTCAATATGTAGGCTACCTAGTCAGGCCAGCCCACAAGCATCCAGAAATTTCTTTGACTTTCTCGATCATGATTCATCTTATTGAGATACAATATATAGAATTGAATATGATAGAGTTAATTAAAATATTAACACATTATTTAACTAAAAATAGAATTATTAAAATGATGGAATAGATCTTTAAGTAATCAAAATTAAACAATTATACCATAATTAATATATATTACATTTTAATTATCAATTTAAACTCACCAAAATTTGCTAAGATTGATTATAAATTAAAATTTTAAGAAAACTTCGCACAGCCACGTTAAACACTCAAAATTATTACTCGCAAATCGATTTGACTGTATCAATGCTCCTCTTTTGATGGCTTTCAAAAAACTGAAGTTAGACGCGCCGCCGTCGCAGTTATTTAGCGCTAGTGTACATCGTGGTCGAACGCTATTGGCTCAAAAAAAGATGACGTTTTTAATGTTAGCATATAATTGGTCCAAGTGTACATATTTGTCGTAATCTTATTGGCCCACGTTAATAACTAGCAGGCGGAAATATCGTTGTAGCGCATAATAGGTCAACAATTTTTATGGCGAAAATTTTAAATATTGTGAAACATCCAATATAATATTTTATGATAGTATATTATTGTTTATACTTTTAATTTTCACTATAATAATATGTTACATATTAAATTGTTTATTTTTATTTTTGTCTGTATCTAACTATCCGGGTATTTGCTTTTTCTTTGTTTTTTACTAAAAATTTATAGCTTTAGCAGTTGGCAGGCCATAAGTGTGATTTATATGTATACCTCTTTGGCCGCGAACATTACCTATACTTCAATGGCTGCATTTTAAGTACTTACCTATTGAAAGATGTACTCTGTATTAGTTTTTTTAAATAAAATTTAAGTAACAAGCGAGTTAACTGGCTGCCTATGAACATATACAACTGAGCCTAGAACTAACTTTAAACAAAGGAGGCAACACATACTTTGTCAACTCTGATTAATTATACTGGTTCTCTAACTCTCTATATCCTTCATACAGGAACACAGCAGCAGTATTCAGCAGTGTACGCACTACTGTTTGGTGGCAAATAAATAAAAGATGGTGGTATCAATCTAGTCAGACTCTTTGTCAGAAAAGAAATTTTAACACCTAGGTATAATAAAACACCCAGCGAAATCATTATATAATCTCTCACATATAAAAAAATCAACAACATTTTTGAAGATGATGGTATGTGCGCATTGTTACGGCATTTTATATTTTTTTAGCTATGCAGATCTAAAAAGACCAGTATCACTGCGACCTATAAGATCTATTGTGGTCGTTGCTATGACTGTAGTTCATTGCTAAGCCCTATGTCTTCAATGAATTGAAGGAGTTGATGGCTGTGAGCAATTTCACTTCTTCTGTTCGAAGTACATAGTTTCCCATATGAGTGTTACGTTTGCGCATTAAGGGTCCACAATCAGAGGCTGTGCAAAGGTGTTTCTTTCGTTAAGGAACATAACCGGCACATCCTTGAGTTGAGACCAGATCTTAAGTGATTTATTATGATAAAGAGTTTCAAAGGTCAATCGGGCTAGGCTTATTGAGATTTCACAAAATGGCTCGTGTCCAAATTGTGTACTCTTTGGCCCTCCCGTGCGAGCTTGTTTTCAAGTTCATCGCCTATAATACCCACAAGGCCCGGAAACCATCTTAAAACGATTCTGTTGATACATCCCAGGGCGTTTAGACGATTCACGCAGTCTCCAACTAGCTTCGAATTTTCGTAGTTTGTATTCAGCGATAGCAGTGCTGCTTGACTATCAGAGTTGATATAGATAATATGGTTGACGTAGTGTTTTTGCAGACTGATTTCCGCACACTGAAGTATGGCGAAGATAGAGGTCAATCTATCCAAATTCATACTAAGGTTGAATTTGGGGCGTTTCCCATAAATTACAAAGTCTACGTCGATGCCCATTTTTGACGCATCGGTATACCATATAAAGCTACCAACCTCACAGATAACCTGTACATTCAGCCAGTCTTCTTTGGAGGGTAGTTCCACTATGTACTTTTTATTAAGAGTATAGTGGACGCATAATTTTTTATTTATTGAGTCAAGCATGAATCCCAATCTATAGGAAAGCAAACCCAGACCGCCCTATGCGTTAATCCTATACAAACTTGCCCGCGCCTCCTTGTCTAAATAAAGATCAAGGGCTCTTAGGCATAGAAGTGCATTAATAGCAGTTCCAGGCGATGATCGCATCGCTCCTATTACCATTAAACAGGCAGCCCCTTATAAACTACTTAGCCTATCTGCAGTCATCTTTTGGTTGGCCTTATTACACCAGACAATAAAGGCGTAAATAAATACCTCACTATGCCGCTATATATATCCATAGGATCATACTGCGACGCAAGCCCCAGTTTTTCCCAACCATACGATTGCACGAACCTAAATCAATTTAGCCTTATGACATATATTGCTAAAGTGAGAATTCCACGTTAGCTTTTGGTCGATTGCTACGCCCAACTACTTAACTTCAGTGCGGAATGGTACTTCTTTACCATTAAGTTTTGGTGTGACTAATTTGTCCGTCTCTTTTTGTTAAAAGGTATTATAACAGTTTTACCAGTATCAACTGATAAACTGTTATTCCTACACCAGTTGTTTATGGTGTTTAGGGCTTTTTGTATGATTGATGATAAAGTACTTTTGCAAAAACCCTCGCAATGGCCACAAGGTCATCAGCATAACCCAATGTGTCAATGCGAAGGTCTGCCATCTTGCACATAGTCCACCTGATGGTAAGTGGTTACTGTGGCCCATAGACATCTACATCTATCCTCGTTTGCGAATCAAAATGCAGATGCGTTGTCACCTGTGAGGACTTAGATGGAATGTCTCTTTTCCAGTAAAAAGGGTCTCAGGTTCTCTACACTCACCATATGAAACACAGCAGTGTTAAGCTGCTATTTTACGCTGGTATTCTGTGAGAGCGTGGTCCTTTCCCGGTCGAGCCGACCCATTCGTGCCACAACTATACTACTAATATAGCTGCAGCATGGCTCTACCACGTATAAACCGCAAAAAGGGTCAACCGCAAAAGTCCAAAGAAGGCATTAATATAGGTAAGGTTGTTTCATAATGGAAACAAACTTAAAAACATTAATTAATAGTATGACAAAAAATTGGTGGTACTTGGAAAGACAAAAAACGGTCAAAAAGTCCAGGTCAAATAATCCCTCATAACTAAAAGGTTAAGAACCACTGCTTCAGGGTATTGCTCCGGTATGTGACCAAGGTTCAGCATCCCTAGGTATCTCGATTGCGATAATCCTAGAAAATTAATTTTTCATCACATGTCACATTTCTGTTCTAAATGCCTTCATTTCTGTATCTACTCTTCAAAGCAAGGGTGCGTTTGCAAATCGGGCCAAATTATGCTGTTTTTCGGTACATTTTGTGACAAAACTAAACCAAATCAAATATAACTAATAACTACAACGTATAGAATGGTTCTTTTTCTTCAAATGGTGGTAACTTTTTTGTTGAAAATAATAGTTTTTTACATTGTAAAAAGGATCTTCCCTAGTCATTTAATACAAAATTAACGATACCGGCTCATATTTCGGTACATTTTTTGTTCTATTATCAACATATATTAAGATTACTAAAAATACTGTAAGTAGGCAGACATATTCAATAAAAAATGCTGGTGATTACTTTTTATCAAAATGTCACAAATGGTCGTAAAAAAAATAAAAACTGATGCTTATTTTTTGACATATTTTGCTGATACGGATGAATCCTAACGGATTGCAATAAGGGTTATTTTATTTTTAGTGTCTGTTTTGATTTGTTGTACAAAAATTACGATGAAAGATGAAACCACAGTCGGCGCTCGGCCGCTATCGCGGGTGGTTGCTGTATCGCCTGCAGCAGCTGAAAAAGATCACTGTACAAACACAAAATATTCGAATTTGATACACAGGTACATGACCTGACAAAGTAAAATAATACATACATAATATAAATATTTTTATAATCACAAATTCTTATTATAATGTTTTGTTTCGCTAAAAGCAAGTGGGATTTATAATATATAAATATATATAAATCCTATTCGTCTTGGAATTATGGAGTGATCTGAAAGTATACGGTGAATGCTACTAGAACTCCTCGACGAGTTGAACTAGGTGTGCCGAGTTTGGCTCATTATGTTAGTTATGACGAGACCTTACCTCCGAACTTGAAGGAATGACCTGAAGGTGTACTTCGGTAACTGCTAGTGGAACTCGTCCTCGAGTTGCAGGAGTTGCAGTAGTAGTCACTGAAGTACACCATCAGGTCTCTCCATCAAGTCCGGAGGTAAGGTCTCGTTGTAACTAACAAAACGAGCCCAAGCTCGGCACACCTAGTTCTACTCGTCCATGACTTCCAGAAGTTAGTCACTGAAGTACACCATCAGGGCTCTCCATCAAGTGCGGAGGTAAGGTCTCGTCATAACTAACAAAACGAGCCCAAACACGGCACACCTAGTTCTACTCGTCCAGGAGTTGCAGTAGTAGTCACCAACGTACACCATCAGGTCATTCTGTCAAGTCCGGAGGTAAGGTCTCATCGTAACTAACAAAACGAGCCCAAACTTGGCATACCTAGTTTTACTCGTCCAGGAGTTGCAGTAGTCGTCAACAACGTACACCATCAGGTCATTCTGTCAAGTCCGGAGGTAAGGTCTCATCGTAACTAACAAAACGAGCCCAAACTTGGCATACCTAGTTCTACTCGTCCAGGAGTTCCAGTAGTAGTCACTGAAGTACACCATCAGGTCTCTCATCATTTCCGGAGGTAAGATCTCGTTATAACTAACAAAACCAGCCCAAACTCGGCACACCTAGTTCTACTCGTCCAGGAGTTGCAGTAGTAGTCACCAACGTACACCATCAGGTCATTCTATCAAGTCCGGAGGTAAGGTCTCATCTTAACTAACAAAACGAGCCCAAACTACAATACCTAGTTTTACTCGTCCAGGAGTTGCAGTAGTAGTCACCAACGTACACCATCAGGTCATTCTGTCAAGTCCGGAGGTAAGGTTTCATCGTAACTAACAAAACGAGCCCAAACTTGGCATACCTAGTATACGTGGTAGAGCCATGCTGCATCTATATTATGGTTGTAGCACGAATGGGTCGGCTCGACCGGGGAAGGACCACGCTCTCACAGAATACCAGCGTGAAATAGCACCTTAACACTGCTGTGTTTCGTATGGTGAGTGTAGAGAACCGGAGACCCTTTTTACTGGAAACGAGGCATTCCATCTTAGTCCTCACGGGTGACAACGCATCTGCCTTTTGACTCTTAATCGAAGATAGATGTAGATGTCTATGGGCCACAGCGACCACTTACCATCAGGTGGACTGTGTGCTCGTTTGTCACCCTTATCCTATAAAAAAAAATACTCGTCCAGGAGTTGCAGTAGTAGTCACCAACGTACACCATCAGGTCATTCTGTCAAGTCCGGAGGTAAGGTCTCATCATTACTAACATAATGAGCCCAAACTCGGCACACATGGTACTACTCGTCCCGGACTTCCAGTAGCAGTCACCCAAGTATACCTTCAAGTCACTTCACCAAGTTCGGAGCTGAAGTTATCATAACTAACAAAACCAGCTCAAAGTCCACAGCCAACATCTCACTCCCTGTAGATGGCTTCTAGTACCTAGCTGTCTCTGAAGCAGCCATTTATATTTCGTATCCAAGTATATTTTTGTAGGTAATAAGAAATATGAAAAAAAAACAATCTTTCAAATTATCAAAATGTTTATACTTGATTGCGATTCCCGCAGCTAACCGTGCGTACACTTGTGTGTGTGACCAGTGTCAATGTAATAGTTCGATTCTATACCTATCAATTTTGTAAACGCGTCCTTAAAGCGTGCTCCCCTTCGCATTAGTCAGTTTATTTATGAGTCATCCCCTATTTCTCAAGTTTTTATTTTTATTTAAAATAATTGTGCAAATGAAGCAATATTTGGGTAAACTAACGTCAATCATGACGCTGATTCCGTGGTCACTTGATAAGTATCGCGGCTTACACCATTACTTTTAATTTATCGTCATCTTGGTCTTACGAAAGCGATTGAAACAATAATTAAAAAAAAATTGTACAACCGACTTCAGTATAAATTATTAATAATAACTCAAAAACTATTGGTCAGACCTTGATCAAATTTATACGGGAGCACATGAGATGCACCAGCTTTCAAATAAAAAAAAAAGAATCATCGAAATCGGTTCACCCAGAAAAAAGTTACAAGGTAACACACATAGAAAAAAACATACAGTCGAATTGAGTATCTCCTCCTTTTTGAAGTCGGTACGAAAACGAACAATGCATTCGTATTTTCTCCAAACGCAGCAATGATATTGCGAGCAACTGTCTTACTGCGTTAGAACAACGTCGGAGTTCGTTTTCGAAAATTACTCATTATTAAATGGCGAAGCTTGCGAAGTCACTTATTGATTTCACGATGTCTGTCCGTCTGTCCCACGATTATCTCGAGAACGGTTTTGAATTTTCAAATTCTGTTTTCAGCAATCGATTATTGATCACCCAGACATCTGAACCTCCTATTTTGAAACTGATTGCTCAACGGCAACCGTTAGAAACCGCTACAAAGCTGATTGCTTCGCCACTTTGCTATGCTGTTAGCTTGCTAGGTTTTATTATACCTTCCTATCTACTTATACTTGACTTTGGCCTATGTTCAGCAGTGGACTTTTGACAAGCAGTAATAAATGAAATGAAAAAGAAAACAGAGTTTTGTATTTTTGTATTAAACTTATGTAAGATTTTCTGTTTAAATAATTTATGATACAGTCGCTTTGGAGATTCGATGAGAACCCGATTTTCAAAAACCGGACTAAAACCAATAACTTCCCGATTTTTTTGAAAATCATTGATTTTCATAGCGGGAACTTAAAAAGTTGTCTAGTGGCAGCCTCGTACCAGGTGTAAGGCGGCCACCCACTATATAGTGAGACTATAGAGTAAAGACTCCCCGAAAGTCAAGTATTGACCAATGTACAGCAGTGTACTATTCATGAGCTGTTAAGGTGAAAAGTATATACTTACAAACAAAAAAAAAACTAATAAAGAATTTTAACTATTATAAATAAAACAATTATTATTGTTAAAATTTTTATTATAAGTATCTTAAAATTAAACAACAGTTTCTGTACTTATAAAAATGTCTACAAACCTTGAACAAATAAAAAGAAGCCATAAAATAATTCAAACTAGTATTATCTGATTCATTTCATTCACTATTACACCACCATAATAAATTGGAAATTCTACATATTATTATATGTTTTATTCATTGTTTATTTGATATTATGCTTAAAATTAACGGGGCGAAATATGTGATTATACAATCCGCTCCTGAAATGAAAGAATCCACGTTAATTAAACGATGTAGCAACTTAACACTAATAACAATCTAAAAACATCTTAAGACTTTAAACGATTGCATCATTGTATTTTTAAATCATTTCATACCCTCGAACGGGGAAGGACCACCGCTCTCACATAATACCAGCGTCATACTCTATGTCGTACCAGGGCGATGCCGTAGGTAAAGCAGCATAAAGCTGCTACGTTAGGTATAGGTATGTGTAGAGAAGCGGAGACCCATTTTATTGGTAACCAGGCATTTCATTTAGTCCTCAGGAGTGACAACGCATCTGCATTTTGATACTTAATCGAGCATAGACGTAGATGTCTTAGGGCCACAGCATCGACTTACCATCAGGTGGGTTGTGTGCTCATTTGTCACCCTTACTCTATATAAAAAATATTGACGTGGATGCTCCAAGATGATTTTAAAAGCAATAAGTGAAAGGTAAAGATTGCAAGCATATTTTTAAACAATTACGGTACGGTACAAGTATTATCTGTCTCTGTCAAGGATTATGTAGTAAAAAGTGGTAAATTTTTTTTTACAACCCACTTCAATATAAATAATTTATTGTTGATTTTTTTAAAACCGCTCGACTGATTTCGATAAAGTTTTAATGAGACCACCTGGGAAATATACCCTTTGAAACAAAACAAGAACTTTCCTAATTGGTTCAGGCGTCTTCGAGCAATCGGTGAACGTACATAAACAATATTCCGACGAATTGAGAACCTTCTCCTTTTTTGAAGTCGGTTGAAAAAAGAGGGCTACTTTAAACATTTCTTAAATTGACATCTACTATACGAAATAGCGCTGGAGCGGCCGGACGGAAGCTGATCTGCGCGCGATCAAACTGAAGACAACAAGCGAGAACTGGATACCGACTTTTATTAGAAACTGTGTTACCAATACCACCATTAAAAAAATTACATCATATCATTTAAACTTTTTCGAGAGCCATTACGAATCGTCTCGCGCGCAGACTTAACGACTGCCAGCCTCCCGAACAAGCCGGTTTCCGAAAAGGCCACCATAGCACCATAGACCACATACATACCCTTCGGCAAATTGTACAGAAGTCCGAGGAGTACAATTTGCCTCTATGTCTGGCGTATGTGGACTAAGGAAAACCTTTGATTCCGTCGAAATTTGGGCGGTGTTACAGTCCCTTCAGCGGTGCCAAGTTGACTGTCGGTATATCGAAGTGCTGAAGTCCTTGTACAGTAGGGCTACGATGGCTATCCGAGTACAGAACCAGAGTACGAAACCTATCCAATTGAAGAGAGGTGTAAGACAGGGTGACGTTATATTCCCGAAACTCTTCACCGCTGCATTGGAAGACGTTTTCAAGCTTCTGGACTGGAAAGGATACGGTATTAACATCAATGGCCAGTACATCTCTCACCTTCGATTTGCCGACGATATAGTTCTTATGGCAGAATCGCTGAAGGACCTAAGCACTATGCTCAATGACCTCAATAGTGTTTCCCAACGGATAGGTCTTAAGATGAACATGGGCAAAACAAAAATCATGTTTAATGTCCACGTCACCCCTATGCCGGTAGTTTTTGGGAGCACTAAGCTCGAAGTTGTTGACGAGTATATTTACCTGGGACATATAGTCTGACTAGGTAAGTCCAACGTCGACCGAGAGGTCAATCGACGGATTCAACTCGGCTGGGCAGCGTTCGGGAAATTACGGCACATCTTCTCGTCAGGTATACCTCAAAACTTGAAAATGAGACTGTACAACCAGTGCGTGTTGCCAGTGATGACCTATGGAACTGAGACGTGGTCCTTCACTGCTGGCCGGATGAGGAAGTTCAAGGTCGCTCAGCGAGCTATGGAGACGGCTATGCTCGGAGTTTTTCTGCGTTATAAACTTAAAAAATGAAGCTATCCGCAGTAGAACCAGAGTGACCGACATAGCCCAACGGATTAGTAAGCTGAAGTGGTAATGGGCTGGTCATATAGCTCGAAGAACCGACAACCGGTGGGGAAAAAGGTTCTCGAGTGGCGGCCTCGTACCGGCGGACGAAGTGTAGAGCGTCCCCCCCCCCCCCACTAAATGGAGTAACGACCTGGTAAGATATGCAGGAAGTCGATGGATGCAGGTGGCTCAGGACCGTGCTTTGTGGCATTCTTTGGGGGAGGCCTATGTTCAGCAGTGGACTTATGAAGGGCTGTAATGATGATGATGATGATGATTTAAACTTTATACTAGTCGCGTATCTCAAAACATGTTTGATTTTCCCATTTCAAGTTAAACTTAAACTTTTTAGTATTTCGAAATACACATATAAGATAACTTGAACATAAAATAAGATCTTGCGTTATAACAACTAAAATATAAAAAACTGCAGTTGCCAACCCACCTGCTTAGCGTGGCAACTATGGCATATATCCCCCCTCCCCCTATCAGGCAATCTATAGGGAGGGTAAATAAAAGGTAAGTTACTTAATTTAGAGAACCTAGGCCTTAAATTTCAGAGATACTAACCGGCTCGTCTCATGCACGTAAGAGTCTCCATAAGAGTTGTCTCCACCTCGTTGCTATCACCGCAGCGGCATATCATCGTATATTCACCTGACACCTGAAAAATTCCAGGATATAAATATTTTTCTCCTATCCGGCATAATGAAGTGACGACCTGGTTAAGTGGAGTTTACACCGACAATAAATACATGGCTACGTAAAAAGCTACGTAGCCATGTATTTATTGTCGGTGTAAAGCCGCGTATCCACCAAAAATGGTAACAACATTTATGTTTCCAACTGTTTACAACTCAACAAAAGTTACCAACATTTGTTTCCGATGTTGCCGACAAATGTTTCCAACAAGCGTCTCTACCGAGGGAACAAATGTTTCCAATAAGCGTATTCCTTTAGCCGCGTATCCACCAAACATGTTGACAACATTTAAGTTTCCAACTGTTTACAACTCAACAAAAGTTACCAACATTTGTTTCCGATGTTGCCGACAAATGTTTCCAACAAGCGTCTCTACCGAGGGAACAAATGTTTCCAATAAGCGTATTCCTTTAGCCGCGTATCCACCAAACATGTTGATAACATTTAAGTTTCCAACTGTTTACAACTCAACAAAAGTTACCAACATTTGTTTCCGATGTTGCCGACAAATGTTTCCAACAAGCGTCTCCACCGAGGGAACAAATGTTTCCAACAAGCGTATTCCTTTAGCCGCGTATCCACCAAAAAAGTTGACAACATTTATGTTGCCAACTGTTTACAACTCAACAAAAGTTACCAGCATTTGTTTCCGATATTGCCGACAAACGTTTCCAATAAGCGTCTCCACCGAGGGAACAAACGTTTCCAACAAGCATATTCCTTTGATGTTGCCGCCAAAAATGGAAACACGGTTCCCGACATTGTTTCAAGTTTTGTTGCCAACACTAGGTAATTACAGAAACATTTGTTACCAACACGTGTTGGCAACACAACAGTTGGTAACAAAACTTTGATGGAGACGCGGCTTAAGAAAATTCACCTCCTACATATGATACGGTGGATGTTGTAAGAGGCGATAGAGGGAAACTGAAACAGGAGATGGTCATGGTTCTGATAACAATTACCAACTGAAAATACTAAAAAACTGCAGTTGCAAACTCGCCTGCCAGGTGTAGCAAACTATGGCAAGTATCCTCCCTATGAGGCAGTTTATGGAGGAGGCCGCAGTAAACTTTGATAGGCTGTAATTAAATAAGACATGCGGGAGGTCGATGGATGCAGGTGGCGCAGCACCGTTTTTAGTGGCATTCCTTGGGAGAAACCTAATGTTTAGCAGTGAAGTCGTAAAGAGCTCTAATGATCATGATAATGATTCGTTGTGTAGCCGCAACGACAACTCTGTAGCGTAGAATATAATTATGTGAAACTCAATGCTCAGCAGTTGTGCTCGAAAATTGATTGCAATATTAGGCGCAAAAAAAGGACTTCGTGAACAGTTCAGAAACCTGCTACGTTTCATACATTGTTTTAGTTTCAATTTGTATATCTGAAATAGAATTTATTAAATTTTGCTTTGGATCTTTACAATAATTGGTCTCTTACGTATCTATCTATTATAAAACACGCATCGAAAATGAAATAGAGTGAAAGAGATAGAATATAGTAACAAAATACTGATTTGCTTTACGAATTACAGTATTTTATAGTTATTTTTAATTTTTGGTTAATTAAAAACATGGGAAAATCTTAGAGTGCCACGCTAGGATATTCTTCCTTATTGCGTAGGCTTTTTACATACATAAATTGCATATGGATGAACGTTCAAACCCGACACAATATTATATGAATTGAATATGCAAACAATATGCATTTTTACGTGGTACTAACATAGCTGCAGAATGGCTCCTGCAGCTGTATTATGGTTGTAGCACGAATGGGTCAGTTCGACCGGTTAAGGACCACGCTCTCACAGAAAACCAGCGTAAAATAGCAGCTTAACGCTGCTGTTTCGTATGGTGAGTGTAGAGAACCGGAGACTCTTTTTACTGAACACGAGACATTGTTTCACGCCTGGCAACCCATCTGCATTTGATTCTTAATCGAGGATATATGTAGATAGATGTCATACAGGGCTCATAGAGGGCACACAGTCTATCTGATGATACCATCAGGTAGACTGTGTGCCCGTTTGTCACCCTCATTCTATAAAAAAATGCAAACACTTATTCTGTGCGCAATTTGAACCCGTGTCGCTTTGAGCCGTCAAATTGCGTAAAGAACTTTAATAAAGCACGTATTATCTTTAGAGTAGATAACTACAATCTCTGAACATATAATTGAAGTCTTTACAATATTTCCAAAGTTTTTCCGTGACTAATCTTATTTAAAAAAATTACGGTACATATTATTTTATCTACTCATGTGGTATTATGTAATTTTTAAATAATAACAATATAACCCTCAAATAAAAGTTAAGAAGTAGAAAAAAACATTAACAATAGTTTCTCGGCTAAAGCGCGGCATTGGTAAATAGCTATCGAATAAATACACAAACAACAATTTAAATTAAAAAAAATCATAGTATAATAGTAAAAACAATGAGCTCTAAGACCGAATTACGATCATAACAGTCTTAACGGAGATTAGACATCAGCGCACACCCGTCATAAACGCTGATAGTGACCACCGTGGGATTTTAACCGGTAGGAATCCGGCATTACATTTCGTTGCCCGCACAGCGGAAGGTATCAATGAGGATTTCTCCACGATAAAAAAGGCATCAGCGCACAGGGTAATTAGTGGAAGCACAGTGCACTCTCTGTTCCCTCACTCTCGTAATCCGTTGGGACGTCAAATCCGACAAGACAAAAGAGTGTGTGTGTGTGTGAGAGAGAGAGAGAGAAAGAGAGAGAGAGAGAAAGATAGAGAGAGAGAGAGAGAGAGAGAGATAAGGCGTAAAATCTACGGCTTTACGTGCTTTCCGAGGCACGGGGATGAAACACCGCCAACTTTTTGACTCCGAACTGCTACTGAGAATTGAGATCTTGACAGAAAACCCCAATAAAGTGATCTTCGCCCGACCCGGGAACTTATGAACAGCAGTCACACTGACGACCACAAGACCAACAAGACAAGTCTTTAATCACTATAAAATATACAGCATATTAACCGTGAGTGAGTAGTGAGCCGTGGTAGCTCAGATGGTTAGCGCTTGCTGTAAGTTTCACAATACGCGAGCAACCCGGGTTCGATCCCCGCCGGCACCAATGAAATTGTTAATTGCAACTTTAAGTACTGATTTACCACGTGCTCGACGGTGAAAGAAAACATCGTGAGGAAACTTCATGTCTGAGAAATAAGAAAAAAAATTATTTCGAAGACATGTGAAGTTCGCCAACACGCATTGGGACAGCGTGGCGGACATTTCCATGGCCTAAAAACCTCTCAGAAATGAGGGGAGGTCTGTGTCCAGCAGTGGGACATATATAGGCTGTAACTTTAAACATCCTGACGCGTTCTGTGTGACAATGTCCCGCTTTAGAAAAATAGAATACAGAAAGAAAATTAGTTTATTATAATTAATAAAATCAGGCGTTACTTTGCGGAAATCCATTATATAAAAGCTTTTAGAAAAATTTACTTCGCAAATATCCGCGTTACAAAATAAAATGATGTGTCTTACCTAGTATGAAGAGCACCTACCGCCCTCCCTCAATTGCGTGCACTATCCCCGTCACCACTAATCCCAGCACCGCTACTTCCAACACCACTACACTAGGCAAGACACACCACTGACGATAATACGACACGTGTTTCGCCTCTACACGAGGCATCCTCAGGTGATATAGACTCTACGGTGGCTAACCGCTAAGTGAGCAGCGAGCCAAAACAAGTGCCTTTTATACAGACCGATGACGCAACCGCTCTCTACTTAAGGAGCGAGCGACTGCGTCATGCGATAAAACATGCGACTAATCACCGCTGGACTTACGCAGCCGTTTGTAAAATTAAAAACAAACCGCCGCGCAACGCCCACCCTCCAACCACGCAACCAATCGCCGATCACCGTGAGGGTGACAAACGACCATATTGCGAGGCTCTCTATTATTAGAGAGCAGGCTTAAAGATATTTAAGAGAGGTAAGTTAGCAACATTTGTTTGTTCATTCAACAGTGCAACGCTACTTACTATTATTACTTTTTAATATCTCTAACTGTTCCAGCACACACAGCCGCAGTCCTTTATTACACGTATGTAAGACTTTAAAGGAGTGGTCGTTGGCTAGGTTGTGTCCAGTGTCCAAAAGATGTTTGGCAAAATGGTACTTATCGGGATTGCAATTCCTGTACGCGGCTAAATGCTCTTTATAACGTGTCTCGAAATTGCGACCAGTCTGACCCACGTAAACGGCGTGGCATTCGTCACAAACAAGTTTGTAAACACCTGACTTTTGACGAATATCCAACTTATCTTTATTATTATAGATATTTCTAAGAGAATTGTTTGTTTTGAACGCCACATGAACGCCGTTTTGTCGAAGAGTATTAGCTACTTTTTCAGATATGGGGCCTAAGTAGGTCAAACTGCTCACATATCGATGAACACTTTGAGGTTTAGACATTGGCAATTGGCATGAGTCAAATACAAATAATCTTGCAAAAAAAAAGTTGTTTTCCCGATGGATACCGCATTCTGTGAAGAGCAAAAAGCGGCTCGCGTTACTTGGTGCGTCAGAACTCTCGAAAGATTCCACGCAGGATCCTCAAATGCTGTATACAACATCGTATCAGGTGACGAATCCTGGATATACGCGTACGAACCCGAAACAAAAAACCAGTCACGAGTTTGGGTGTTCGAAAATGAGTTAAAGCCAACAAAAATTGTTCGTTCACGGATTGTTGCAAAAAAAAATGGTGGCCACGTTTGTCTCCAAAACCGGCCATGTTATGCCTATTCCTCTTGAGTGACAAAGAAAGGTTAATGCAGAATGGTATGCTAGCATTTGTTTGCCACAGGTCGTTTCTGAACTCCGTAAAGAGAACTGCAACCGCCGCATCATCCTCCATCACGACAATGCGAGTTCTCACACCGCACACAGAACAAAAGAGTTTTTAGAGCATGAAAACATAGAATTATTAGACCATTCGCCGTACAGCCCCGACCTAAGCCCTAATGATTGCTATACTTTCCCTAAAATAAAGAATAAATTGCGTGGACAGAGATTTTTATCACATGAAAAAGCTGTGGACGCCTACAAAACGGCCATTTTGGAGACCCCAACTTCCGATTGGAATGGTTGCTTCAATGATTGGTTCCATCGTATGGAAAAATGTGTCAAATTTCGCGGAGAATACTTCGAAAAGCAATAACTACATTTTTAAATAGTAATGTTGTGTCACTTCCTTGATTCCCGAAATTTTCAGTGCCGCCCTCGTATAATCAGTACTGTCGGTGAGAAGCAATTGTAAGATTATATAATGTAAAAAAGTGAAATAATTTAGGTTCGTGCCTAGTGTGCGGTTTGTATAAAAAGTAATTGACACTCAAATGACCTGATAGATGAAGAGTGGATGCTGCGGGAACTTGTCTTTGGTCTGGCGGACGATGTCCAAGTACGGCAGTCCGGGCTTCACCATTAAAAAGTCCGCGCCTTCCGCGACGTCCCGGCACTGTATAGAGAAAATCATATTTGACCAAAGATTTCATACTAATCGATTACAATAAATTCCGAGGTTGCGTGGCCTTGTATTTTTGGGTTAAGTACTCGTAGAATTTCACGACCTTGCACACTCGGACCGTTTTTCAATATTGGTACGATTCCTCTCTAACTTAGGAGAGGCCCATGTACGGTTTGTTCCGGACCGATACAATTTAGAGACCTTCAAAAAAAGAGGTCACAGCCTGTGATTATACTGGCTCCCTATACCTTTCAGATCGCAACCGGACCTTAGAGACTGCTATATTCTGATCTGGCTGGCAAGTATACTGCTACTTGGCGACAAAAATACATCATAGGATGGTATCTACTCAGATGGACTTCTAGGTAGAACAGGTATTCTACCACTTAATATACCACCTCTACTATGAAATAAAGAGCCGTGATAGTTCAGATGGTATAGCGCTCGCAGTAAATTTCACAGTACGCGAGCAACCCGGGTCCGATCCCCACCGGCACCTAAGATCATGAGGAAACCTGCATATCTGAGAAATAAGAAAAAAAAACGTTTCGAAGACATGTGACGTTTGCCAACACGCATTGGGGCAGCGCGGCGGACACTTCCTTGCCCTGAAACCCTCTCGAAAATGAGAGGAGGCCTATGCCCAGCAGTGGAACGTATATAGGCTGTAATTTAAACTTATAATAAAATAAAGAAAAAACATACAAGTATAGTAGTACATCTTTAAGAGCTGGCGATGAAGCCGAAAAAGACTTACTACATAACGCAATGGGTGTCGCTAATGTAGAAAGCCTTTACAGCGTCTTCGCCACAGATTTTGAAATCCAAGTCCCACAAAATTGACACCAACACTTGTCAATGTTTTGGGACTTCAGGATTCGTACTAATGACTTATGACACTTAAGTCAGGTACAGTCAACCACCAAGGTATGTAGCTTGCACTCACAGCGGCCCTCATGGCTAGACCGGCACTGCCGGGCGGCAGCTGGTAGCACTTGCGGTCGCCGGCCATCGGGGAGCTCTTCATCGTGTCGCGGAACGGGCCGTACATTGAAGACGCGAACTTGCACGAATACGATAGCACCGAGACCTGTGAACGAGTTATTCATCAGTCATGTTTTAGATCCAATTCAACAGACGTACTATAGAGTAGAGAGTAGGTGAGGGGGAATATTTTGTTGATAATAATGTGGGTGACAGACAAACACAGTCCACCTGATGGTAAGTAGATGCTGTTGCCGATACGCATCCACATCTATGCTCGATTACGAATGCAAGTGCGTTGTCACCCGTGAGGACTAAGATGGAATGCCTCATTTCCAGTAAAAGGGGTCATCATACGAAACACAGCAGCGTTAAACTGCTATTTAATGCTGGTATTCTGTGAGAGCGTGGTCCTTCCTCGGTCGAGCGGGTCCATTCGTGCTGCTACTATACTACTAATATAGCTACTACGTATAAATACGTTCAATAGGCTTCCTCTGCTTGCTGTTTTGTAATTTTATAGACATATTAGAAGGGTAATACAATAGTTTTATTAATATGACCTAGAATCATTTTTACATGAAAGACTTGTTCATAATACCTATTCAGTTTTCAGAAGTTTTCTTCCTCGCACAACTTCCTTGTGAAATCGATTACCACCAGCGATTTTTCCGGACCGATACGACTTAACCTTCAAGAAAACCTAACCTAACCTTTTTAAAAGGGCGGCAGCGCATCTGCAATTCCCCTGGTGTTGCAGTTGTTCATGAGCGGAGGTAGTCAGTTACCATCAGGTGAGTCGCATGCTCGTTTGCCCTCTCTCCTACAAAAAATGGTAAATGTTTATTTCTGATTTCTTATATTTACGAGAAAACTATAAAAGAATGAAACTAATTTTATTTAAGGATTTTATCTAATTAACTTATTTTATATTACCAACGTTTCGAGTACTTTGTACTTGTTACTTGTGTTCGACGCCTCAATGTCATAGTTAAGCTACCTTCAGTTTAAAACCCGTTCCGATCTATGTAGAAATAACTTATAGTATCTTGAAGTCTTACAGTTATGTGCTTGGGTTAATAGCAACCAGCCTTCGTTTTCATTAAAAAAAAAGGATGTTTTTTCATTTCAATAGATGCGACGAAATCCGTAGAAAACTAGATTCATTGAATGTTTATTTGTTTATACAAACCTGGTTCTGTAGTTTGTTTGCGACCAAAGCGTCCTTAATGGCTTTGATTCTGTTGTCCATCATATCTGAAGGCGCCACTATATGAGCACCTGTGAAAAAAGTACATTAACGTTTAAACTTATTTTTTCTAAACACATCCCACAGCTTGGTTATCTTTTATTTCTCTAAATTTAAAGGCGATTTAAAAAAAAAATCTCGAAGGTTAGTGAACCAATTTAGCCGATGTTTTATCGAAAATGTACTTTCACAGTAGGTTCCAAAAACCTATAATTATTTTATTGCCATAAATGTTAGCTAGCGGCGCAATCGTCATAATATGAAGCAAATATTGCACTGTTGGACAACTGCGAAATTAAACTTTATATAAATATTTCCTCTAAATTCTACACCTAGTGTATCGCAGCACACTACTTATTTCAAGAAACTTCGAGAACTGAAGAATACGACCAGACAAACGTGAACACGACGAAGTGTCGTCGTTTTGGATGCCAAGAGTGGAGGGAAAAGTTTAGAGATATTAGGAAGTCAAAAACGCGCTCACGGGAGAAAACTCATAGCATGTACTGTGTACGTCTCCAGTGATTCGATCCGTTTGTCGCAAGGACCTGGAAGTCGGGAAGGACCTTGAGGTTGAGGAGGGAATATTGCGCAACCGTCTGCTACTTGATTATGTATGTTACTGTATGACAATTTTGGCATGTTAATTTCTATTTAATGCCGTTCACATATCTGAAGTTTTTCAGAGATATGTTTAGTTTATCATTCCCCACGGCGGCTATCGACCGCCTACTGCCTACGCTTAATAATCGGCGACAAATATGGCCGCCGGCGACTATTGACCACGTCGATTTTTTTTTGATTCGCTATTAAATTGTATAGTAAACGCTGTTTGTTTCATAAAAGTTAAAGAAAGGTACAGCCTATATACGTCCCACTGCTGGCCACTCATTTCTGAAAGGGTTTTTTTTTATTTAAAGACGTTACCCTCACACTAGGATTTTCTCCTGTATCGTGGAGGCAGTTTACAAATACAAATTGCACAAGGACAAACATCCAGACCCGGAACAATTATTTGTAGGCCATACAAATACCTGTTCCGTGCGGGATTCGAACCCGCGGCCCTCAGCGCAGCAACTCATTGCTAACCCACTGCGCCACGGAGCCGTCACAAACGTTTTGGGGCAACGAAATGTCCACCGCGCTGCCCCAATGCGTGTTGGCGAACTTCACGTCTTCCAAATATTCTTTTAAATTATATTCTAGTGCATACGTGTAAGTGATCTCTTCTTTTTCTTCATGAGCTCGAAAAAGTCAACTGCTGGACTCTCCGTTTCAAAGGTCAATTGCCATAATTGCCACGCCTGTTATATGGATTTACCCTGATCATACGGAACACAGCATCATTATGCTGCTAGTTTAGTGGTTCTTCCTCAGTCGACTGGTTACAAAGTTACATGTCTAATTACAATTTCAGGCTAACGCATTCTGAAAACTACGTGACAAACGAAATTTTAATTTGTTACTCAAACTTTTATCGGCTGATTTATGAAATATACAATAATCAAAATGCCCCTATACTACCTGCTTTAGCATAAGCTAGGGCAACCTCAGCTATCCTCTTCACTGATTCAGCATGGTCGATAGCACCATTTGGTGTCAGCAAACCACAATGACCATGGGAAGTATATGGGCACAAGCATACATCAGCGGCTAATACCAGATTTGGTAGTGCAGCCCTTAATTTGGGCAATGCTTTTATAACCGGGTTTTGTGGTGAGTCAGCATTTGTGCCTATTGCATCCTGTAAAGATTAAGCTGAATGAAGTTGATAGGAACTTTTCCGTATGACATTACAAGTGACTACAAATTTGGGTAGAGATATAGATTTAAAGATAACTAAAGTTTATGGGTCGTACTTTCGGCCTGTGCGTATTTAAGTAAAAGTATATTTTTAATTTTTTTTACCACGTTTTTAAGTCATTTCCTTATTTGTCTGTCTGTCTGTCGTTCCGCGTGGAATCTTACAACTCAAACGAGCACTTCCCGATGAGCTATCTAGAGACTTGAAATTTTGAACATAGCTAAGCTTCGGATGACAATGTAGGTAAACAAAAACGTGGTATAATATTTTTTTTAGTATAAATTTTTTTTATTTTATAAATCTGAAGTGTCAAACTAATATACAGTCCACCTGATGGTGACTACTGCAGTCTATGAACACCTCTATCCAATCCAACTTCAAACAAAGAAACCTTATGTAGGTTATATAATATGCATTGTCACCCCCGAGGACTAAGATTAAATGCCTCTTACACATTTTTTTTCTTTAATTAGATAAGATTTACCTTGTAATTTGTAATTTATGTTGATGTGGGATATATGAATATGATGATATGGGGTAGTAATAATTGTAAGAATATTACTACCCCATATCATCCCGTGGGTGTCGTAAGAGGCGACAGAGGGAAACAAAACAGGAGATCGGCAGCAACATCTTTCTAATAACGACTAAAAATAAAAATAAAACTACGGTTGCCAACTCTCTTGCCAAGAGAGTCAACTATGGCAAATACCCACCTATGAAGCAATCTATAGGGTGGGCCAATGTTCAGCAATGGGTTTTAATGAGCTGTAAAGTAAAAGTAATTATCTTAAACTATTATTGTATTATGTTTGCACTTTTTATAATGGATATGCAACGCATATAATATTAACGCATATACAATTGTCTTTGGCACCCAGGGTTGACTGGCAGAGAATGCCATATGGCATTAAGTCCGCCCTATGTACTCTTTACCATAAGCTCATATTGCTCCTCGAGTGATCCTCCATGCCAATTCCAAAGAGTGGGGAAACCATACCAGAGGTTAATTCTCGAGTGTCGAATTTCAACCCGAATTCCCCGCACCCACGCTAGATTTTCCGCGCATACTAAGGATCTGAACTATTATGACACGTGTCGTGTACGCGTACATATTATAAATTATAACTTTACTTTCTGAAATTTGAATGTCAATCAAAACCCAGGATCTCGAAATTAAAAGTAGGTATCAAAAGTTAAATAAGCACCCGAATCCTTGATTCTTTTTTTATAGTAAATTATTAGATGGACATGTCCTATACTCTACTACTACTACTATACTTAGTTTTGCCACTTATCTGTCCATGCCACTACTGTAGTCACTTACCATCAGGTGGTTTGTAAGTTCCTTTGTCACTTCAGTTTAAAAAAACCCGGCCAAGTGCGAATCGGACTCGCGCACCGAGGGTTCCGAACAAATCTGTAGGTATATAAGTTTAAAATTATTAAAAATATTTTTATTATAAATGATGTAACTAAAATTTATGCTTTGCGCAATTTTTCCTTTATCTGTGCTATAATACGTTGCTTCGTACCAAATTTTAAGATTCTGAGTTCACGGGAAGTACCCTGTAGGTTTTGATTCCCTTGCGAATGTCGAAAATTTGCGGCATAAACGGCTGTATCTTTTGATTGCGTTGGCTTAGGAGTCTGATTTTTCCACAGCTTCAAGGGAGTGTTTGATATGAATTTGAGTTTGATAACTCCACGCGTTCCTGAGAAAAAGGGTCTTTACAGACAGACGGACAACAAAGTGATCCTATAAGGGTTCCATTTTTTCCTTTTGAGATATGGAACCCAAAAAAAGACTCATCACCTATGTCCTTCTGCATACTGTATACACATGTAAAGGTAGCAGTACACGTTGGCCGAACGCGCTCGCCGAGTGCGTTCGGCCAACGTGTACTGGGCCGTTTTGTGTGTATTTGGCGTTTGCGGCCAACGCTCGCCGACAAGCCGTATATTGTCGGTTTTCCATGCACAAATCAAAGAAATTTGGCGCAAGCCGCAAATAGCGATCACACGCTGGCCGAGTGTTCAGTTCATAGTTACGCTTTGCGGCTTAATAAAATTATTTCACGAACATGGCGACATGGCCTAATGAGGAAATATTTAGGTTCATTGATTCTTATCACAATGAATCAGTTATATGGAACCCCAAACATGAGCAACATACAAATAAGGCCGCGATCACTAAAGTCCATCATCATCTAGCTACCAACGCAGAATGAAGCACGCCAACGTGTGAACGGCACCACAAAAATCTGCCGAGCGGGCTCGCCAAGCGCGCTCGACCAAGTGTGTACTGGAGCCTTTACATGCTACGTCCACTTTTGTTTCGACGGCTCCGTGGCGCAGTGGCTTAGCAATAAGTTGCAGCACCTAGGGCCGCGGGTTCGAATCTAAAATGTTTAAAAGAGTTTGCTCCACAGCCAAATCATTACATATTAGTAACAAAATTAAAACGGCTAATAATAAAATTAAAATGACGTGGAGTATAATTAACAGCGAAACCGGTAAAGAGAAACCTCGTAACTCAAACTATCAATTAAAAATTAATAATGAATTGACTAAATCAAATCAAGAAGTTGCAGCGGTGTTTGAGAAATATTTCACTGATGTTCCTATATTGACAACAGAGTCATTGAATACTTCTCCAACTGTCGCCGAGTCATTACTTAAACAGAATATTAATACCTGTTTAAAAGAATTTAGATTTGAAAAATTATTACCGTATAATATTGTAAAATACTTCAAAACCATTGATGTAAAGAAAAACGCAGATTTGTGGGGGATTTCCGTTACAGTGATTGCGTCCATAATAGATTTAATTGCACCTCATCTTGCTATTATTTTTAATACTTGTATCGATTCTGGTGTGTTTCCTGATTTAATGAAGTATAGTAAAGTAATACCTTTATTTAAATCTGGTAGTACATTGGACCCCGCTAATTATAGACCTATTTCTGTACTACCAACAATCAGTAAAATTTTTGAAAAAATAATTTTGGATCAGTTGTTAATTTTTTTTAATACAAATAAATTACTTCATAAAAATCAATTTGGTTTTACAAGAGGTCGCTCGACGTCTGACGCCGGTGTTGAGCTTATGAAATATATTTTTAATGCCTGGGAGAATTCACAAGATGCCTTAGGTATTTTCTGTGACCTTTCCAAGGTTTTCGATTGTGTTCATCATGATACATTAATCAGGAAACTACAACATTACGGTGTAAAAAATTTGGCGCTTAGACTTACTACTTAATATTTAAGTAACAGAACTCAAAAAGTCGTCATCAATGGTAAATGTTCCTCCGGATCGGTAGTATCAATGGGCGTTCCTCAGGGCTCGATTCTTGGCCCATTCCTGTTCTTAATCTATATTAATGACTTACCTTATCTTGTAGGGGACAATATAGTATTATTTGCTGACGATACATCTTTAATTTTCAAACTGAAACGGCAGTCAATTAAATATGACGATGTAAATAATGCTCTATCGAAACTAGTACATTGGTTTAACGCCAACAATTTGCTCTTAAACGGCAATAAGACAAAATGTATTAAATTTACAATACCTAATGTAAAACATTCGGAAACCAATGTGCTCTTAAATTTTTTTAAAATTGTATAAACAAAATTATTGTTAAGTGAAATTATGTTTAAAAAAAAGTCCCGCTGGGTTTCTTGATGGTTCTTCCCAGGACAGAGGTATTTTCCGAACCAGTGGTAAATAAAATAATGATTTTCAATAAGTATTATGTATTAATCCATATTGAATAAAAATCATTCTATTCTATTCTATTCTAATCGAATCCCGCACGGAACAAGTATTTGTATGGCCTACAAATAATTGTTCCAGGTCTGGAAGTTTGTGAAATTTATGTATGTAAACTGTCCACAATACTGGAGAAAATCCTAGTGTAGAGATAATGTTAAAAAAAATAAAAACTTTTACCTTCTCCAATGTTTCCACCACTCCAAATATAAGAATTGATTTTAATCCTTTTTCAACCAGCTCTGTGAGGGCAGGTATCAGTTTGTTAATGCCGTACCTATAGACATTTGGCATGCTCGAAACTGACTGAAAGCCATCCTCATTTTCTCTGTAAAATAATCACATTTGTGAAAGTTTTATTTGAGTTTATATGATAGGATAGAATTGAATAAGTATTCGTAAACTGTTTTCGTTAAGTCTCATTTAGTGCTTATACTTTTTTTGGAAATCTATTGGTAAAACCCTCCACCCCTCCCACCTCCTCCCATATGACCCTAATATTTTTGGACAACTTATTAATAAGTCCCAGGGATATTTGCCATAATTGCCATGCAACCACAGTTTTTTATTATTTAATTTGTTATCAGGAAGATACGGCTACCTATGTTTCATTTCCCTCCGTTACCTCTAACGACACCCACGGCTTGCCATTCAATGGCTCGAAATTGCAATATTAAAAAGTTAAACAAATATCTTTTTGAATTCTTATCAAACATATAACAACCTTATAATGAGCAGGTTAAGTCCAATATTGTATTCTTATCTACTAAAACTAAATAGTAGAGCACAGGTAAGATAACCAGTTTAAAGTTTATCAATTTTTAAATAAGAAATACACTTCAAATAAAGTGAGCAAAATTACCAACACACATTTTGCACTCATTTATCACAACAATAATGAACAAAATGGAAAGTTGTTTCTAAGGGTTGATTTTCTAACTTTAAGTTTTATAAGACATCAAATTTTATAAATGTAAGTTAATAAGAATTAATCTCTTGAAACCTACTTAGCCGAGTTGAATCTGTCAATAATAATCTGAATCAATAAGAACTATATTGTCGACAAATCGAATGAGAGTGATGTACTCGCCATTGATGTTAATACTGTATCCTTTCCAGTCCAGTAGCTTGAAAACTGTTATCCAATACAGCGGTGAAGAGTTTTGTCAATGTCACCCTCTCTTACACCTCTCTGCAGTCGGATAGGTTTCGTACTTTGGTTCTGTACTCAAATAGCAATTGTAGCCCTACTGTACAAACACTTCAGCACTTCGATATACCGACAGTCAACTTGGCACCGCTGGAGGGACTTTAGCACCACCCAAATTTCGACAAAATCAAAGGCTTTCTCATAGTCCACATATGCAAGACAAAGTGGCAGATTATACTCTTTGGTCTTCTGTAAAATTTGCCAAAGGGTATGTATGTGGTCTATGATGCTAGTTTTTTCAAAAACTTGCTAATTCAGAAGTCTCAAGTGGCAATGGGCCGGCCATATTGCTCAAAGAACCAACAACCGATGAGGAAGAAAGGTTCTTGAACGGCAGCCTTGTAGGAGAAGCGTAGGGTGGCCCTCACTAGAATGGAGTGGCTGTAACATGTGTAAATTTTTATATTGCATTAATTATAAAAGAAAAATACTTATATATATAATTCCTTAAAAACGAAACGAAGAGATTCGCAATATGGCAGGTTTGAAAGATGACCTTATCACAAAAATTGATAAGGGCGTGCTTCAGTGGTTTGGGCACGTTGAGCGAATGAGTGAAGACCGAATGGTGAAGAAAATATATAGCGCGAAAGTTAATATTAAAAGGTGTTGAGGTAGACCGAGACTAACTTTCGAAGACCATGTGAGCAAATTGCTCGAAGAGGTTAGGGTCAAAAGTACTCGGATACTTAGACGTGCATGCATGAAGAAGATAATGAATCTGAAAGAAGCGAAAGAGGTTTGTAAGGATCATGACACTTGGCGATCTGTTCTCTCTGGCTACCCCGTCAGGGATTGTGTGTGAAGATAAGTAAGTAAGTAAGTAATTATAAAAAAAAATATCACTAAAATATTGGCGCTTCATAGTTTATTCGAATGGTGTGTATTTGGGCGAAGGGGAGGAGACAAGCACAGCGCCGACACCTGCATGATATCTCACATCGTTGACGAGCACTTGCACTTATTTTATTTTATCATAAGATCTTTAACACAGCCTTGTGTACTTATAGTCACTTTTCCTAAATATTTTACTCTAAAAAATATACATCTCAACCATTCTTAATGTGATTCCCGTACTGGGTAAGTTGTCCAAATTATTTTAATATCTTTTAAGGATATGTAGAAATAGGACGCTCACTCTTTGCATTTTGTTAGAAATAATTTCCTTAGTTGTAATATGTATTATATAGTAATACATTAACTATATTTAGAGTGCTGTAACAACATATAGCTAATAGCTAATGTACAGCAAGGTACTGTAGTAAGATAAGCTTTTCGTTGTATATGGACATTTTGTAAAATAATCTCCCATATTGCCATCTATCTACTAGATTACTAGTAATCCAAGTTGCTATTATTATTTAGAGATATTTTGTAGTATTCTGATCTAGTCGGGTTTTAAATAAATATAGAAGGATAAATAAGATAAATTTAATTTAAATAAAATAGCAATACCTATAAAATAAACATTTAATTAATAAATAGAAATATGATATTATTAACACTGAGTATAAATGATTATATGTGCCTGCTAGAAGACTATAATCTATTTTGGGGTATTGGAACTCACGACTCGGGATGAACTGTCTGATAAAACTCCCTCCAGACAAATTTCGTGACCAAGGGACGGGAGACAGCTAAGCTCACTGGACAGCAGCTGTCAAGATTTTAATATTGGATACATGGCAGTAAGTACAGGCAGACTAAGCAGAGTATGGGAGAGTACTGTTGCAAGGGCAATTAGATTAAAATCAATAACAATAACCAACATCTGACCCTGAGTTTATAAATAAATTCTTAATTTTTCCTTATTCTTATTTGTTGTTTTATTTTAACCAAATTAAAATGTAACATAGCAACCTAGTAAGACGTGCAGGAAGTCAATGGATAGAGGTGGCTCAGGACCATGCTTTGTGGCATTCCTTGGGGGAGGCCTAGGTTCAGCAGTGGACTCGTGAACGGCTGTAATCATGATGATAATAATGATGATTGAAATGCATACTGTGAGTATTGTCTAGCAGTGGTGGATGACCCCCAGTTTAGACCAAGTGACAACCTGATCAAACATATATTTACTCAATGGACACAGCTAGCTAAGGATAGCACTTTGTGGCAATCTATGGATGAAAACCTTGTTCAGCAGTAGACTTGTGATGGGCTGTAGTGAGGGGTAAATGTGATAGGTAAATTTAAGAGTAGACTATTATGGTATGACTATACACTATGAAAAAAATATAATTAAATATTCGGTCAAAGTTATTAATTTCAGACTTGTGACCGAAGAGTATACTTACAGCAAAAACACTGGATACATAATATTGTGCGGTTGTATACTAGTGTTTGGTTCTTGTAATTTTCGAAGAGTTTCATGAAAATATCCACCTTGCAATACATGTTCCGGAGACAAAAAAAGACTATTCATATTGACCAATAAAAATACCCTTTTAAAAACGTAATACAAAACAACTTGAATGTATAATATACTAGAAAAACAAATTCTTTGCAAAGGAACTAAACAACAATTTTTATCACCAAGTACGACAGTTAAATTGTTTAATAAAAATACCTTTGAACTTATATCAACTTATATAAAATAGTGCAAGTGCAATGAAACAAAAACAAAATGAAATGCACAAACTATATAGAAACACTACGAGTTATGAAATGTCAAACACATAAATGACATTAACAATGACTGTAAAGGTATATTTTTTTACAATTTAAAATCAGAGGGCGATCATACAGCCTATAAAGCCTTATAGTCTGGCATATATAATGATTTTTCTATATATATTTTTCACAATATACTGATAAAGCGTCATATTGCGGAGTTTTTGTGACAGTTTGACGATAGTTTAAACTTTAAACCTTACAAAAATTAATGGTAAAATCATCTCGACATGCTTTAAAAACCTTGAGGTTTTTATCTCCATCGAAACATTTTTGACACGCTTTCACTAATAATCCTTTTAGTAGTCTGTGTTAATAATCTTAACTCTACCACCAAAGAGAATATAACCACTGCGTTTATCTATCACTGCTTAGTAAAGACTACGGCACAGTCTAACTAGTAGATTCTAGACTACGGGTGATGCAACTCTGTATGAAATCCGAGAAACTTGCACATAATCATAATTTTATCTATGTGTGAATTGGGTTTGCCGTTTGTAGTGGCGGTCAAGAATATCCACTACCCCATATCTTCCCGTGGGTGTCGTAAAAGGCGTCAAAGGGAAACAGGCAGGAGATGGGCAGCAGCATCTTCGTGATAGTGGCCGAAATTACAATAAAAAAAACTGCGGTTGCCAACCCGCTCACCAAGCGTGGAAACTATGGCAAATTGCCCCCCTATGAAGAGAGTAACAAAGATACGGCCACCAGTTCCCGGCGGCCCCGCTATTCCTGGCTAGGGTGGCGACCATGGTAACGGCAGGGCCCCCTGAGGACTGACGAGAATATCGTGGAGCTGGAAGAAGAGATAGACAAGTTACGCTGGCATATTATAGGATTATCTGAAGTCCGAAGAGAGGGGGAGGACACGGTAATCCTCGAATCCGGCAACTTGCTCTATCACCGGGAGGGCGACCATCTGTCCCAAGGAGGTGTCGGATTTATCGTCCACAAGTCTCTCGTTTACAACGTTGTAAAGATCGAGAGTGTGTCGACGAGGGTTGCGTAACTTATACTCAGTATCACCAAACGGTATTTGCTGAAGGTCATACAGGTTAACGCACCAAACTCGGCACACCCCGATGAGGAGGTGGAGGAAATGTATGAGGATATCTCTAGAGCCATGCATTCCTCAACAACCCCATATACGGTGTTAATGGGAGACTTCAATGCAAAACTAGACACAAGAGAGAACGGTGAGCTGAAAGTAGGGAAATTTGGAATAGGGCAACGGAACCCAAGGGGCCAGCAGCTGGCCGACTTCATGGAGAAAGAGGGACTCTTTATGATGAACTCTTTCTTCCAGAAGCGGCCCCACAGGAAGTGGACCTGGTCGAGCCCCGACGGTTCGACAAAAAATGAGATTGACTTCATTATGACGACCAGGCGACAACTGTTCAGTGATGTATCCGTGATCGCGAGGGTGAAAACTCGTAGTGATCACCGAATGGTTAGAGGCACACTGAATCTAAACGTTAAGTTGGAGAGGTCTCGTCTAACGAAGTCAACGCTCCGTCCCCCTCGTGCTGTGTTCCAAAGTCCTGAAACCTTTCAGCTCGAGTTACAAAACCGTTTTCAGTGCCTAGAAAACTGCAATGAAGTGGACGATATGAATGACAAGCTCGTGGAAACTGTCCATGCGGTCGGAGCTAAGTTCTGCAAGACCCGCCGCAGAAGAACACAAAAACTCTCCGATCACACTCTTAATCTCATAGCTGTTAGACGGGAGATGAAGCTACATTCTTCAACAGATTTGACAGCATACAGGCAACTGAACAGACAGATCTCCAAATGCATGCGGCGGGACTTACGCAACTTCAATACAGCTTGTATTGAAGAAGCGATCGAGCGGAACCAAGGCTCCAAAGTCTTTGCCAGAGATCTGTCTGCCAGAAAGAGCCAACTGTCAAAGCTGAGGACCGAGTGTGTCAGCATCGTTTCCGGGGCACCTGAGATTTTGAGTGAGATTGAGAGGTTCTATGGGCAGCTGTATACGTCATCGTTGGAGCCACACGCAAGTGTGAGTAACGATCCAAGAGCGAGTCTTATCCGACATTATTCCGATGATATCCCAGACGTCAGTCTGATCGAGATTAGAATGGCTCTCCAGCACCTTAAAAACGGCAAGGACTCCGGTGGGGATGGAATTACAGCGGAGCTTCTGAAAGCGGGTGGAAGACCGGTACTTGAAGTCCTTCAGAAGCTCTTTAATTCCGTCCTCCATGGTGGCATTACACCGGAGGCGTGGAACAGAAGTGCGGTGGTCTTGTTCTTCAAGATAGGTGACAACGTTCTCTTGAAGAACTACAGACCGATTTCCCTTCTGAGCCGCGTCTACGTGCTGTTTTCGAGAGTCATTACGAATCGTCTCGCGCGCAGTCTTGACGACTTCCAGCCTCCCGAACAAGCCGGTTTTCGAAAGGGCTTTAGCACCATAGACCACATACATACACTTCGGCAAGTTGTACAGAAGTCCGAGGAGTACAATTTGCCACTATGTCTGGCGTATGTGGACTATGAGAAAGCCTTTGATTCCGTCGAAATTTGGGCGGTGCTGCAGTCCCTTCAACGGTGCCAAGTTGACTGTCGGTATATCGAAGTGCTGAAGTGCTTGTACAGTAGGGCTACGATGGCTATCCGAGTACAGAACCAGAGTACGAAACCTATCCAATTGCAGAGAGGTGTAAGACAGGGTGACGTCATATCCCCGAAGCTCTTTACCGCTGCATTGGAAGATGTTTTCAAGCTTCTGGACTGGAAAGGATACGGTATCAACATCAATGGCGAGTACATCACTCACCTTCGATTTGCCGACGATATAGTCCTTATGGCAGAATCGCTGGAGGACCTAAGCACCATGCTCAAAAACCTCAATAGTGTCTCCCAACGGATAGGTCTTAAGATGAACATGGACAAAACAAAGATCATGTTCAATGTCCATGTCACACCTATGCCAGTAGTTGTTGGGAGCACTAAGCTCGAAGTTGTTGACGAGTATGTTTACCTGGGACAAATAGTCCAACTAGGTAAGTCCAACTTCGACCGATAGGTCAATCGACGGATTCAACTCGGCTGGGCAGCGTTCGGGAAACTACGACACATCTTCTCGTCAGACATTCCTCAAAACCTTAAAACGAAATTATACAACCAGTGCGTGTTGCCAGTGATGACTTACGGATCTGAGACGTGGTCCTTCACTGCTGGTCATATGAGGAAGCTCAAGGTCGCTCAGCGAGCTATAGAGAGGGCTATGCTCGGAGTTTCTCTGCGTGATAAACTTAAAAATGAGGATATCCGCAGTAGAACCAGAGTGACCGACATAGCCCAATGGATTAGTAAGCTGAAGTGGCAGTGGGCCGGCCATATAGCTCGAAGAACCGACAACCGATGGGGAAGAAAGGTTCTCGAGTGGCAGCCTCGTACCGGTAGGCGAAGTGTAGGGTGACCCCCCACGAGATGGAGTGACGACCTGGTAAGACATGCAGGAAGTCGATGGATGCAGGTGGCTCTGGACCGTGCTTTGTGGCATTCCTTGGGGGAGGCCTATGTTCAGCAGTGGACTTATGAAAGGCTGTAATGATGATGATGATGATGATGTGGATTTGGTGTGTAAAATTAAAGCGCGAATAAGATATCTCTGTTTCTTTCTTTCGAATTGTTTTAGATTACCATTTTAAAAATTAACAGAAACAGAAACTTTAGATATCAATTTTTCCATCATGGGTGTCATTCCCATGGTTTTCGCGGGTGTTGAAGCCATTAGTACTGTCGAAATGTAAATCCAAGGTGGCGGCTGAATTAGGTACCAATTTTTTCATCATGGGTGTCATTCTCATGGTTTTGGCGGGTGTTGAAGCCATTAGTGCTGTTGAAATGTAAATCCAAATGGCGGCTGAATTAGGTACCAATTTTTTCATCATGGGTGTCATTTTCATAGATTTCTAGGGTGTTGAAGCCGATAGTGCTGTCGAAATGTATTTAAACTACTTTAAAAAAAAATCCGTATAATCATGTTATACGTAATTTTTTTAATGCGCTTAAGGCATGCTCTGGATTTACCAATTTTTTTATAATGTTAGCAACATTTATTGCGAATTGTTATAAAAATAACAATGCACACACATGTAAATAATTGCAAGTGAAAAATGAATTGATGAAATGATGAAAATGAGGTGAACGGCATAGTCGGGAAGGGTCGCCCTAGGCGAAAGTTTATCGACCAAATTGGCGATATATTAAAAATGGGCCAAATCAAGAGTACCTTTAACCGACGAGCGTGTATGCGTAGGTATATGGATGTGGAGGAAGCGAGAGAGGTGTGTCAGGATCGTGCCAAATGGAAGTCCATAATCTCTGCCTACCCCTCTGGGTGACAGGCGTGAGTGTTTATGTATTATGAAAAATGAATTTCTGAATTCTTTCGATTGTCGAGATATGAGCAATGATTTATTATATAATATCAAAACCGGTTGCTGCGCGTCTGAAGCTGTTGCAGAATTTCTTCTCAATGTTGAAAAAAGGGGACGGTTTAATATTTCTATGGGACGGAACTACGAGACAAATTTATTTCCGAATGTACACAAGACGATCGCAGATTTGAATCCGTTATTAAACAAAATAAAATAATTAATTTTACAAGTTGTAACAAAAAACGAAAGTAATGGTCCCCACTCACGGTCAGTTAAACTGTTCAGTTTAACTGACGTACATCCAAAAACTGACCGTGAATGTGAAATCTTAAGTTGAAATTTTTAACTGAAGGTAACACACGGATTTTATTCGGGCGTGCTGTCAGTTAAACTGCTCCGTTGAACTGACGTACATCCAAAAACTGATCGTGAATGTGAAATCTTAAGTTAAAATTTTTAACTGGCGGCAACCCACTTATTTTTCCGGGCGCACCGTAATCCGCGGCTTCAGTTCGTTTCCATTATTGGTAAGTACATACTTTCTTAGTAGCTTTTATATATATTTTATAATTTTTTATAACATGTTTTAAGATTTTATATTTTTTTTTTAATTAAGAAAAACGTTATCCCCACACTAAGATATTCTCCTGTATCGTGAAGGCAGTTTACAAACATAAATTGCACAAGGACTAACATCCAGACCCGGAACAATCATTTGTAGGCCATACAAATACTTGTTCCGTGCGGGATTCGAACCCGCGCCGCAATACATTGCTAAGCCGCTGCGCCACGGAGCCATCATATATATTTAGAGAAGTTGGTTTGACAGAGGATGGAGACCAAGGTGATGGTAATGATGTCACCTTCCTTATGGTGGACTCAGAAGGTGGGTAAAGGATCTCAGTGATGCTACTACGTAGAACCATCGTTTTTTTTAGACTCATTTTCAAATAGGTAAATGGAGACCTAGATGACGGTGATAATATCATCTTTATGTTGGTGCTACCCGAAGGTGGGTATAGGATCTCAGTGACGACACTAGATAGAAAGACCGCGTTTGAACTCATTTGAATGGGCTCATAAAGACCTAGGTGACTGTTATGATCTCACCTTTATGATGGTGCAATCCGAAGGTGGGTATAGGATCTCAGTGACGGCACTAGATAGAAGGATCGTATTTGAACTCATTTGAATGGGCTCATAAAGACCTAGGTGACTGTTATGATCTCACCTTTCTGATGGTGCAATCCGATGGTGGGTATAGGATCTCAGTAACGGCACTAGATAGAACGATCGCGTTTGAGCTCATTTGAAAGGGCTCATAAAGACCTAGGAGACTGTTATGACCTAACCTTTCTGATGGTGCAAATCGAAGGTGGGTATAGGATCTCAGTGGCGGCACTAGGTAGAACGATCGTGTTTGAACTCATTTGAAAGGGTTTATAAAGACCTAGTTTAATGTGATTATATTACCTTCATGATGGTGGACAAAGAAGGTGGGGTAAAAGATCTCAGTTATGCCACTACGAAACACCATCGTGTTTGGGCACATTTGAAAGGGCTCAAGAACTAACTACACAAATAATATAAATATAATAAATAGTACAAACAGTATTATTACTCACTTTATAATGTTTTCATGCAATTAAAAAGCAGCAAAACTCCTAAGTAGGTACAAAATTAGAAATCGACCATATATTTTAAAGGCAATAAAAAAAAGGCAGAACGGAAAAAGCATAACCAACTACAACCAGAAGACGAAAATATCTGCGTACTTCAAGAAAACCTACAAACACCATTAACACCAATTCCTATAAATGACCGTGTTACCTGTACACAGTATTTAGAATTCAATGATTTTTGACTGATTTATTACACGAATACTACACATTTAATAAAACAAACTTTACGGATTTTATTTTGTTTAACTTATTTTAATTCGTGACGTTTGGGTGCTTCAACTTTATTTTAGTTTGTAACACGTCGAGAGCTCAATTAGATAAACACAGAAAACTAGGCCATCCTAACTATTTCCGTTACTAAAAACCGATAAGCATTATCTGGTCATCATAAGACCTTCAGAATGTGCCCATGCCCACTGATTTTTTTGGGTTCACGGTAATCGGAGTGCAAGTTAGTATCAGTGGGGTGTCGCCCTCTCTACAGATAGGTAATTTAATAAACAGATAAAAACAAATAACACATTTATCAAATAAATAAAATTTACCATAATGAGTAAAATTATCATAATATCTGACCCATTTCTTAAAAGTGTCTTAATACTGACCTTATCATGAATAAAAATATCTTTTGAAGTGTTAATATATAGGAAACGTTATTTATATACATATATACCTATAGGTATACGGAACGGATTTCATTTCTCGATCGATGAAGCCGCAGCCGTGCGCGTTTAGTTGGCGTGACTCCTATAAATAAAAAATATCATTTCCTATCTATTAACTAGCTGTTCCCCGCGACTTTGCCCGCGTGTAATTTATTACGATTGGATTTCATGGGTTTTAATTTTTTTGCACGGGACCCTAATTATTTTTCTAAATTAAAATTAGCCTAAGTTCCTCCATATAATATCAGTTATCTGCCACTGAAAGTCTCGTTAAAATCGGTTCAGCCGATTCGGAGATTAGCCAGAACAAACAGACAGACAGACAGATAGAAAGAAAGATAGACAAAGATTTTAAAAATTGTGTTTTTGTTATAAGTACCGTATGTACTTTCAAATGCATTTAGTAAAAAAACTGTTATTTTGACATTACATATAGACACTTCAATTTTATTTATTTGTATAGATATATATTAATAGACAGGAAATGCTATTAAATAAGATTTAAGTATTATTAAATATCATTTAATTTATCTATATATATGATATTTTCTAGGAGTCACGCAAACAAAACGCCCACAGCCACGCCCCACGTTTGAACTAGGACTGTTGTTAAAATATCGATATATCGAAAAATCTATTTTATTATTTAGAAATACCGATATTTAGTTCTAATATTTTTGACGACATATATTGAAATATAAGTTTGATATTGAAATATAGATATACGACAGTCGATATATTTTTTTAAATAATTTAATTTTTTATTTTTTCACGTAAATCATTTAATCTACAACACCATCGTAAACTTAAATCCTAATTCTTGATGGACGCAATCTACTATACTTTATTTACACTATATTATGTTTTTCATTTTTCCCCAGTTCATTTATTTGCTTATTATCTTAAAAAGAAATGTAATCTTGTATAGTATATCTCTGTGATATTAAAATCACTATAATTTATGAAACTTAGTACTACTTTACTTACTGTGAGTTTTGGCAGGAGCTTGACCATTGGCGAATGGTTGCTCCTGTTTTATCGTTTAAATAATCATTTGTAGTGGATTTTTATCAAAGTGATGCGATTATATGTATTTTCTGCACAAGTGAGCTATTAGAGAAAACTAAGAAATAAGTGCTTCGATGTTGGTATAAGCCTCAAGTTATTTTAATCGCTTAGGCGTCTTATGATTTACTTCCGTGCTATCAGAAATAGCTGTTAAATACTTGATTTCTTCAGCTTCTTCATCCAAAGCACCTGAACAAATTACTTCTACAATCAATCTTTTAGTGCCCAATAATTGGAGTATTGAAACAGCTGAACATATAAAACAACGAGTATTTTTGAAAACTCTTACTGACAAATATTGGTAAACATAATTGTCTTATTTAAATTAAAAAATACTTCAAGTTAAAGTTACAGCCTATATACGTCCTAATGCTGGGCACTCCTCAGCTGGGCAGGCCTCTCCTAACTTCTGAGAGGGTTTTAGGGCAAAGTCCGCCGCGCTGCCCCAATGCGTGTTGGCGAATTTCGCGTTTTCTGAAATTTTTATTTTATTTCTCAGACATGCAGGTTTCCTTACGATGTTTTCCTTCATCGCCGAACACGTGGTAAATCAGCACTTAAAATTGCAACTAACAAAATAATTACTAAGAACTATAACCTAACATTTTCATACATTTATAATTTAATTTGTTTAATAAATATACTAAATTATAAACTGTGTGAATCATTTTTAAGCAATAAGCATCAATATATTGCTTATGTTTCCCATATATAAAACTCCGATATTGATATATTTATAATTATCGATATATTGAAAATCCGATATTTTAAAAATATCAACAGCCCTAGTTTGAACTGATCAGTTGGAATGATCAATTGAACTGACCGTGTGTGTCGAAATTCTTTTGGATTAAATCCGTTTGAAATGATCAGTTGAACTGATGTCAGTTTAACTGACCGTGAGTGGGGACCATAATAGTGAACCAGAAAGTTCAATAAGTTCGCATGCAACGCGATTTATTTGGTCGAATGTTAGGAATTTCCAAGAGGCAACTGATGTAGAAAAAATGTTTTCGTTTCCGATGACTCCGATGCCTACTTCATTATGCCATTTAGATGACACAATTTGTAAAACCGAAAAATCGATGTAGTAATTGTTGACGGATTTTTTTAAATTCACTGTATGAAAGACGTGGCTCAATCATCCGGCAATATTTCTAAAAAAAAATTACAAATTCTCACGAGTTACAATGTTTCATATGTACACATAGATTTTGATCGCTATTGGTCGCCGTCTATAAAAGATTACGAACGTTCGTTGAGGGGAGGTATCGACAGCAACCACGAGTACGTCATCTCTGGTCCGGAACAAGCTAGAAAATATGATTTTGCCAAAGAATTAAGGAACGACAAATTTAAAGAAGCTCTTGTGCTTTTCCTCATTTCACACTGGCAAAGTCAAGATGTAGCCCACTTTATAGGAAGTAAGACTATTTTATTAAATTTTATTCACTGTTACTTGTACAGCGTAGATGTTAATGGTAACGTTGTTAGAGCGGAAAATCCCGATTTTTTTTTGACCTGCGCACGAAGAAGCGGATGTAAAAGTTGTTTATCATGCGTCTAAAATAAATGCTAATTCTAATGTTGTTGCAAAGTGCTCCGATACAGATATCGTTATAATTATGCTAGATAATTTGCACAAAATAACAGCGAAACTTTTTATTGAATGTGGAGTTTCTAATACCTAGTAAGCACGTTATAGATGTAAATGCGCTTCACACACTTTTAGGTTTAGAACTATGCAAAGCTTTACCGGGATTTCAAGCGTTCACGGGTTGTGATTATAATCCAGCGTTTTTTAGAAAAGGGAAACAGCGTCCGTTTAAATTACTTGCAAAAAAAGATGAGTTTCAGAAGGCATTTTCTGCCTTGGGAGATACTTCAATCGATACAGACGAAACCTTCTTAAAATGGAGTCATTTGTATGTAGCATGTATGGGTATGAGAAGAATGAAAAAATTAATAATGTCAGATTTCAAATGTTTCTCCGAAATTATAAAGTTAAAAATACTGACGAAACTTTTTTTTTTAAATTTCGGCGCTTCCTGCTTGCCACCTTGCTACAGTGAGCTACTTCAATAAATAAAAAGAGCCCATTATTGCACACTTGTGAAATAATGCTACCTCATCAGATCCAATCGAATTCGAGCCCGAAACTTCAGGATGGACATTATTTAAAAATAAATATGATTTTCTATGGTTTGAAGGCCCACAGCTGCCACCATCCGTAACAGACGTGATTTTAGATGAAAATTCAGAAGGTAATATTTTGTTAACGAGTCTTGATTGTGCAATGATTCATTTCATTAAAATATTTATTATTTTCAGTTGATGATGACGTCAGCGATGAAGATCCTAAATTTGGAGAGTATATTCCAGATATAGATTACGAAACAGATTAATTTTGTTTATAAATTTAGTGTTTCTTAAAATAAATTCTTATTTCTTACATTTTACATTTTATTTCAAGGTATATATTAGGTACTAGCTTTTTACCCGCGGCTTCGCTCGCGTGCGCTTGAATTTATTCCGTGCCAAATTTAGAAAAATTCGATCACTTTTAGAGTCACCTCGGTGGCTATGTCTCTATGTCTGTCAAAGATTTTTTTCATTCTAAAATACTATTAGACGTAGATGATTGGTAAAATGCTACAGAAACACGTGAATATATATGTCTAGAAACTCCTACTATTTTTTTATATCGGGCGTCTTCCGATTCCGATGTATCCATAAGAAAGGTAAATAGTCCTGAAGTCAAAGTGTATTATTATTATTTACATTTTACTCTTTACATTTATTTATAGTTAAAGTTTATTTAGTTTTAACAAAGTATTATAATGTTTATTTGAGACATATTATTCATATCATTGGTCCTATTTAATATTGATTGGCACCATAAAAAAGATGTAGATATTTTTTTTTTACTTCGAGTAGACTTGAAAATTTCATAAATACAATTCTATAATAATTAATACTACACATGGATTAAAACTAATGTTACGGGTTTTTTTACGCATCTTGGATGAAAGTTCCGAGTAAAAGAACTGTAAAGTGTTCAAAAAATCGGGAATTTAAAAAGTTAAAATTAAACGCGATAATATACTTAAAATTCGTTTTATTCCTTACTAGCTGTGCCCGCGGCGTAGCTCGCGTATACAGGTTTTACATAAAGAATTTGTCGTTTAGGTAAGAGAATATTAAACGATTTATTTCATTACTGTATCAATAAGTGGTAACAAAATAAAACATTATCATCAAAGTTCTAAGTCGTTTATGATAGAGCTTCTGTGTAAACGACGTTAGAAGTAGGCTTAGCCGGGGTATACACAAAAAGGTTACGGGGGCTACTAACGCGGGAAAAAGCAACATAGAGTTGGCCATGTGCAAAACAGTCAGTACTGAGGTACACTCCTACAACGCGTAAAGTTTGACCTTGCGCTTTATTTACGGTCATCGCATAACACACACTCACTGTAACTGGGAACTGAACGCGCTTAAAACTGAAAGGAAAGTTACTTCTTAATAGAGGGTTTTTGGGCAGTGCTGCCAGATAAAAAAAAACTCATTCAGCTCTAGGACAACACAAAAAGCGCTAGATTTCATGAAAACAGCGCTTTAAAAAAGCCCTAGATTTCGCGCTAAATTAACTACAAACAAAGTTTGTGTTTTTTTATATAATCATAATAAAGAAAACAACATTAAGTTTTTTTCTGGCAATATTTTTTTGATGTATCAATACTTCGCAGGACATCGACTTATAATTATAGCAATTGCTGTCAACAGTAGTTAGTACTGTACGAACAATAAAAATGTCATTAATTGTTTTAAAGTGCAATGTATTTCGCAACTTAGTTTCAGATGTCTAGCATCTGATTGCGGTTGAAATTTTTATTTTTGGTCGGGTTCCGTTGTTTGGCTTTGATGGGTACAAATTTCTTCAGTAAGTCTCAATACGATTCATCGGCGAAAAATCTCAACACAGCAATTCAGAAAAGTTTGTAATTTGTACAACTCCATCTATTACGTCCTTTGTGTGAGAAAACATCCTATCTCTTTTTGTGTTTTAAGTATAAATATATTAATTATTATGGAACGTTTTTTTTACACAGAAATCTTTTTATTACTATTTCTGAGATTTTATGGCGCCATTGAACAAATTCGAACCTACATTTCAAAATAATAATCATTACTTTCGATAGAATTAACCAATTTTAATAAAACAAAGATTAAATGTAACTCGAAGATACGCTTTATGATATTCTTAACGATTTCTTTGAAAATAAAAGATGTTTACTTTAGACGTGATGCGTTCATATAATAACAGACAAATAGACAGACAGACAATTCTAAAAATTATAAAATGTTCTTATTTAATTATTTTCAGTTCCCCATAATGATTTTAGCCACCAAAATATATATACAATGTACAGAAAGAGACACAACATGTTATCATCATTTTTATTATATGTATATATTTAAAGAGAGATGGCGCTGCTAACATCATCAATTCTAAAAATAAAAGAGATTAATTGACGCGATTGATACATTATATAAAACGTAAGAGAACTTATAAATCAGTGTCTACACAGTAAGCAAAAAATAAAGTTTGACTCTCGCCAAAACCAATGCAATTGTCAATAGCTCTTTTAAAATATGATTTACCACAAAGAGTACTCGGCGGTAAAGAATAAATTGAGTTAGTCAACACGCAGTAGGGCAGCGAGTAATATAATAAAGATTAGCAGTAAATATGAAAACTCATCTACAGAAAAAAACCACATTTGCAATTGCATTACATTTTCACAACACCACCATCTATCGAAGAAATGGGTTAACTATTGTGCTTCAGATTTAGTTAATAACGTTAATATATTTTTGTATAATAATATATTTAATACGTTCTTTAATACTTTTGTTTACTGCGTTTGAGATATACATAATTATATCATTATTTTACATAATTTAACTATGATTTATGATATGATATTAGTTTAAAATGCACTTGATGACTCAAACAAAGCCACCGTTGAGCAAATTCGTACCTATACTTCCCTACCCATACTTCAGAATATTTATCATAACTTTTGATGAAATGAACTGATTTTAATGAAATAAAGACTAAATGTAACCCGAAGATACACTTTATAATTTGCTTAACAATTCTTATGATATAAATTAGTACTTTATACGTGATACGTTAACAAACAAACAGACAGACAGACAGACAGACAGACAGACAGAAAATTCTAAAAATGGTAGAAATGTATTTAATTACTTATTTTTAGTACCCCTCAATCACTTTTATTACAAAAATATAAAATGTACAGACATCTGCTATTTACAGTTTTATTATATGTATAGATAAATATTATTCACAGTGAACGTGAGGATCACTACACTCATGAACGGGAGTAGAAAAATGTTCGCCCTGTTGTAGCGGTGAAAGAACATCCACCACCTCATATCGTCCCGTCGTAAGAGGCGACATAGGAAAACAAACTGGAGATGGGATGGGCAGCATCATCTTCTTGACAACAGATCAAAATAATAATAGCTGCGGTTGCCAACCCGCATTCTTACTTTTACCCTCATCTTTGCAAGCCTTAATATTTACTGTAGAGTGAAAACTAAAAGCAACATACTCGAAAACACGAATAAAATAAAAACAGCATATATTGCCCCATGAAAAGTAAAAAAGTAGCCGCTTACATGTTACTAATAATAGGCACAGGCCACAGAGTTTTTAGCCAAAAAAGCGTTCGCTGCGCTGATTCCAACGCGGGATGAATGTAATGTTAATGATTCACTTATTTACATCGTATATTCAGTAGCATTGTACCTATTATTTCATTTTATCAATGACTTGCCATTTTAGTTTATTTAGAAGTAAGTAGGTGGTGCTAATATTAGATGAAATAATGAAAGCCAAAACCATACCATCTAGTAATATAAGCAATAGAAGCAAACATTTATTTATTATATCAATAAGGGATAAAGTGAAGTCAATTCTCTTAAAAGTTCTGTTTCTGTTAAAAAATACGCTATCAGCGCCTCTAGTGGTGAAAAACGATTTAATGATATCGTCATATGATCATATTATAAAATAGCAACGTTGTGTTTAGTTATAACTATGTTCAAACGATTTTTATTCATTGATTTGGTCAAGCTATATCATGACATGGTCAACAAATAGTGTTAAATATCACGAAATGACCACAACATTTCACGAAACGATAGACTACTTTATGATATATGATCAATTCTACGATCTGGCCACGACATCCATAAAAATCTCTTGAATAAAACTATAATGATAATGAAAATTTTTGCAACAATTGCAAATTTCAACAGTGGTTACCGGAACCGGTGCCACGCGCCAGCTTTTGCTGTCGCACGGATGGGCAGGCTCGAACCGGGGTGGTACCACGACCTCACAGAAAACCAGCGTGAATTAGAGGTTTACCTCTGCGCTTCGCTTGGTGAGTGCAGGTGCCCGGACGCCCTTTTTACTGGAAATGAGGCATTCCATCTTAGTCCTCACGGGTGACAACGCATCTACATTTTGATTTGTAATAGAGGATAGATGTAGATGTCTATGGGCCGCAGCAACCACTTACCATCAGGTGGACTGTGTGCTCGTTTGTCACCCGATTCTATAAAAAATAAAATTTATGATAGACGTCACTATTATCTATTGAAATTATTACACTTTCAAAATAAAATAACAAAAATACCAAAAAACTAAACTTTAGAGATTTTTAATACTTTTAAAAATTTAATAATTTAATCATATAAATGTAAGTTATTTATATAATTTCATTTATTAGTAACTGAAGGCAAAATATACTTTTTCCATTTGATGATAGATGGCGCTGTTTTGAATACCAAATCGGTGTAGTTTCAAATTAATTTACCAAGATTATAACTATATTTTAAACTTTATTTACAAATATGGTATTTATTTGAAAAACACCCGTCATCCCGCCTATAACTAAGATATAATAGAAAATTAACATCTAAAGGAAATAAAATACTTAACCTTCCTTTTTAGAAGTTCCGTAATCGGATAAAAAGTAGCCTATAAGTTGCCCCGGGTTACTCACTACCTACATACAAAATTTCATGTAAATCGGTTCAGTAGTTTTTGCGTGAATCCGGACTACACAGACAGACAGACAGACAGACAGACAGACAAAAATTCTAAAAACCACTGATTTGGCTTCAGAACCCTTTATTTAGTCCCCTGGACTTGTTTTTTCAAAAATATATTACAATTACAGACACGACTTTTCTACAGATTTATTATATGTATAGATAATATAAAATCAAGAGAAAAGCGATCGGTTGACTGTGCGCTGCGCCGCACGTCGATAAATTCTCTCGCACTTTGAATCCGACTATCTCTTAGCCTTCTGACACTTTGCATAGAGTTTATTCTATGAGTAAACAACAAAAATCCCAATTGTCGGAAGTATCGCTTAAGATGTAAATTTTCCGAGATTTTTCGCATCTTTAGCAGCTTCTGATAACACTTTCTCCTCTACTTAGCCTTCTGACGATTTTTTCCTGCTTTACCTAATTTCCTTCGATATCTCTGCAAATTTTCAGCCATGCCGATAGGCAATTTTTTTTGTTGGAAAATTTAGATGTTTCACCGGCCGCCCACGCACTTAGCCTCCAGCGCGCCTTCTGACGGTCGAGATTTAGCTTTACGGATACTCATACAATCAATTGCATGTAAAATATTTCGTGCCTCGAGGCATGTTGCCCGACATGTTGCCAGCTCTTAGACCATTCGGATGCCACCCAGTTACCAGATGGCAGCTCGAAGACTCCGGACAATTGAACGAAAGATGGACCAGTCGCCGGAGTTTCGGGACGCCTATACGACGCAGATGAATAACCCCCTAGAGAAAGGCTACGCGAGAGAGACCAAGGGGACAGAAAAGGAAGACCCCAAAAGCTGGTACCTGCCACACTTCGCAGTGAAGAACTCGAACAAGCTCGGGAAGATGAGAGTGGTGTTCGACGCGGCAGTTCGCACAACAGGTAGATGCCTTAATGACTACCTACTCGACGGTCCCGACTTGTTGCGGAACTGTTTAGGTTTAACGAAAACGAGATAGCCGTGTCCGCGGACATCCGAGAGATGTTTCTACGTGTGAAAATTGACCGTCGCGACCAACCCGCGCAACTGTTTCTGTGGCAAGGAAACGAACGATCTAGTCCGCCGCGAGAGTACGTCATGACGTCAATGATTTTCGGTTTCACACAAAATTCACCGTTTCTCGCACATAGCGTTAGGGATTATAACGCGCGCGCACACGCAGAAACACATCCGCTCGCGCTTAACGCTATCGTACGTAGTCATTACATGGATGATTACCTAGACAGTTACGCAACGGTAGAGGAGGCAGTGAGCACAGCGAAGCAGGTTACCGAAGTACACCAGAAGGCAGGCTTCGCGTTAGCAGGCTGGAACTCCAATCATGCAGCCTTACTAGAGGACAAGCCGGAGGAGCTGCTGGCGCGCAAGCCTAAGGAGGTGGCCTAAGGCAAGACGGCTCAGGAAAGACCTTAGAGTTATTGTGGATGGCCGAAGAGGACGCCCTGACTTTTAATACGTCCATGAATAGGGTGCCGCTTGAGGTGAAGACGCTACAGCGACCATCGACCAAGAGGGAGGCGCTGAGCCTGGTCATGTCAGTATTTGACCCACTCGGACTGCTCAACTACCTCACTATCACCGCCAAGATCCTGCTGCAAGACCTGTGGAGTATGAAGAAGGTCGGATGGGATGATGAACTACCCGAGGAGGCAGCGGACGGATTCCAGAGGTGGCTGCGAGTCGTCGAGGAGGTTTCACGACTGCGACTGCCGAGATGCTATGTTCCTACGGTTAGAGTTAGATTAGATTAGTGGCGGCCAAGGCGAAAGTCGCCCCGATTAAGGTGCAAAGTATACCGCGACTAGAGTTGCAGGCGAATCTGATAGGCGCGCGACTCGCAGAATTCGTACAGGACGAACACAGAGTGAGAGCAGATAGGGTCATATATTGGACGGACTCTACTACGGCGCTCCAATGGATACGGCACGTTACACTCCATACGTACCTCATCGATTAGGGGAGATAGCCGAGAAAACATCACCCGATCAATGAAGATGGATACTGACTGCACAGAACATAGCAGATCACGCGACGCGCATGAACTTCGTGAGCAAGGGAGAAAACGACCAATGGTTCACAGGACCGTTATTTCTCTACGAAGAAGAAAACAGGTGGCCTCACCGGAAAGGAGAGAAGGCAGGGGAGGATGAAGAGTTGGAAGAAATCGTAGCGCACCAGAGCGACACCAAGAACGCTTCACACATGCCAGAGATAGAACACTTCTCTTCCTACGAGAGACTGATCAGGGCCACAGCACGAGTACTGCAGTTCATCAATGCCATACGAGGACGAGTTAACACTACAGCACATCCAGAAGGCAGAGCGGATGTGGGTGGAACGCAGTCAGCTCGACAGCTTCGCTGAAGTCATCAGCCGACTTCAGCAGGGGAAGAATCTGGTCACCGGCAGCGCTCTGAGGAAGCTCGACCCCATACTTGAAGACGGGATACTACGAGCCAGGGGAAGAATCGACGCAGCCGACGTAGACGACCATATGAAGCGACCCGTAATACTGAATGGACGCCACCGATTCGTGAAGTTGCTGATAGAGAAGACGCATCAAGAGGCAAGCCACGCCAACAGGGAGAGGGTGGTCAACGACTTACGCACCAGATATTATATCCTCCGGCTACGGCCGACCGTACGAGAAGTGGATCGGAGATGTTTGCGATGTAGGGTACGCAAGGCTACACCACAGCCAGCGGTTATAGAAGACTTACCACCCAAACGGTTAGGGGCGTTTGCGCGACCGTTTACATACACCGGAGTAGATTATTTAGGGCCTTTCTCAGTTACGATAGGACGACGGCACGAAAAGCGGTGGGTAGCATTGTTTACTTGTTTAACGACGCGCGCGGTTCATCTAGAGCTAGTTTACTCCCTAACGACAGACACGGCGATATCGGCATTGCGGCGCGTGGCGGCTATACGCGGGTGGCCACGGGTCATATATTCGGAGTTCGGACAACGGAACTAATTTCATGAGCAGATGTAGAGTTACGACGGGCGATGTAAGAGTGGGTGCCGCATCTGAAAGACTTCGCGCTGACTCGACGTACGGAGTGGAAATTCATCGCGCCGGGTGCGCCCAACCAAGGAGGCGCATGGGAGCGTCGCGTGCGTTCGGTGAAGACAGCGCTGGAAGCCACTCTCCATCAGAAGACCCCAAGGGAGGAGACTGTAGCAACTCTATTAACGGAAGCGGAAAACACGGTCAACTCTCGACCGTTGACCCATGTACCGGTCGACGTCGACGACCAAGAAGCACTGACACCCAACCACTTCATCATATTGGGACCATCGGGCCTACCTATCACCGCGCCGTGCTCACCCATCGATCGTTGGGCATGGAGAGCGGCGCAGGGGCTCGCCGACGAGTACTGGAGGCGCTGGGTGCGGGAGTACTTGCCGACGTTGATCACGCGCGGGGCTTCCCGGAACGCCCAGCGACAAGAAGTGAAGGAAGACGACCTCGTCGTGGTTGCAGACGGCAACCTACCGCGGAACGTGTGGCCAAGAGGAATAGTTACGAGAACGTTTCCCGGACCTGACGACGTGGTGCGCAACGTGGAGATTCGAACCAGAGGCGGAGTACTGCGACGTAGTAGGCTCGCTTGCTACGCCGGGGGGAGGATGTTACGGACGGCGAGGGGAGCCGCCGCCCCGTCGCCCCTTCATACCCCGTTACGCCCCGCACACCGCCCGAATATCACGTGATGCCGCCGACCAATTAGCGCGCGGCACACCTCATAAGACCACGCTCGTAACGAGACAGCCTCCACGGGAATATAAGAAGGGCGTTTTGGGCTCCGAGTTGTTCATTTCGACAGCGGCACTTCAAGAAGAAACATCAAGAAACAAAAGGCAAGAAAAGACTCCATAGAAGACTCCCATCTTGTGAATAATAGTTATTGCCGCATTGTAAATAGTTGTAATATATAATCGTCAACAGTACCACCTTTTCTTCCATAATCGTCCCTAGTATAGTTCGCCCTAACAGTAAATAAGTAAATCAGTAAAATCACATACAGTCCCCTACACTGCATTACTTTAGATGGAGCCTCCCCAGATGGAATAATATGCAGATACAGTCATCATCATCATCATTACAGCCCTTCACAAGTCCACTGCTGAACATAGGCCTCCCCCAAAGTATGCCAAAAAACACGATTCTGACCCACTTGTATCCATCGATTTCCTGCATGTCTTACCAGATCTTCACTCTATCGAGTGGGGGGACGCCCAACGGGAAAGATACAATACTGGAAGTAAAATGTTTCTTCTCAATAAAAAACATGGTTTGACAACTTCTAAAAATTATACAGAATATTTTTTGTATAATTCATTTAATTATAATTAGCATATTTCATTACTAGTTACATCATAAAGAAAACAGATTTTTTTTATATAGATTAGGCTCTCTTTTATTCTAATTATACCATAAGTCTACTTATTACTCAACAGGTACATTTCCACATAATTGGTATGAACATAATAAATAGTATATTAATGACCAATATTTTTTTACTTTAACATGCAAATTCTAACCTTTGAAAAGTGTTTAACTAAAATAACTAAAGTTCTTAAAAAGTGTTTTATTTAATACTTATTATAGTTTAATAATTGACTTAAATATGCCAACATAAAACAAATGACAATAATTCTGCTACTTAGAAGTGCTAAGGTCGATGTGAATTTACAAGACAAAATTTTACATATTTTGCTCAAATTTTCTGAATCTTCAAAGTTTGTGATTTAAACTGTCCACTAGTATCATTTAAAAATTCAGGCATGTTCACTGTAATGTTTTTTGCCACTTAAGGTCTTGTATATTAAATCCTCTGTCAACAATGTCTCCATTCACATTTCACCTCGATCCACCCTTTTCAAATAGTTGCTTATGTCACTACTAGACACACCATATTATTCACCTATAACAAATATTACACATCCAGTTGCAGAAACACCAATGAGCACTATGGGTGTTGGTTGATTTATAACTAGAGTAAGTTGTTGAGAAGCAGGATTTTTGGGTTTCTCAATTTTTATTTCTGTACAAACTATTATAATTGTACATGTATTTGTTTTGCCCAAAATTTTCATATTGTTGTCTTGTACTTGCTAAGACACACACAAATTTAAGTCTTTTAGTTTACAGCACTAGTATTTAATCCATATAATAAAAATATTATTTACTAATGAGCTAATGACCCACTGTTTTTAAAACAAAAAGATAATCCTATATTTAACATGTTCTTCTTATGTCATAGCTATGAGAAAACACTCATTGCAAGAGAGAGTGAACAAGCACCATACAATGGTTTGATTGCAAAAGTTAATACTTAAGTTCATTTACTTCCTCACCAAATTAACTAAATATGAACATAAAATGCTTATAATCATCACATCCTGTATAGAAATGTACTTACTTCCTTAGGTTAACTAAATATTGTATACAAAATGAATCTATATTTCTACTGCATTTTTTTTAATAAAGCTGTGGTTGTCTTTCATGAATCCAATTTTGTTGTTGCAACATGGATCACCTATAGAGCACTGTATCCCTATATCTTTGGACATACTTTCAATTTCCACTTCAACATACTCTATTGCTTCCATGCTACTGTTTTGGTAGCTTTGGTTTTTCTTTTCTTGTTCTTCTTTCTTTTGTCGTCTTTTAATGCCTTTTTGATGGCGTCCGATCTTTTTTTTATCATTAAATTGAGAACTATTCCAGGGAAAAACACTTGGCACTGCCTCTTTTTTCAGACGAGGTGTTGCTAAAATCAACGAGATCATGACAGTGAAAATGATGGTCAAGAAAAGAGTATAAGTAGGTACATTGATTTACTCTAATAAGTATCTTATACTAACGATTTGGGTACAATGGATCCTTTGGTAATGCATAGTCTTCAGGAGTGAAATGATCTTTACAAACTACTGCATGTTTTGATGGGATGAAGTCTTCTCTCCGTATAGCTGTTACCCATTTTTGTGACCGAGATTTATCGCATGGAAATCTATGACCACCTTTGGCTGATGAACAATGCGGTACAGCACACCACTGAGGCATCTTTTTGTGTATTTATGTATGCTAGAATAGAACCGATTTCTTTTAAGTAATACGTATTTCTCTAATTAATATAACAAAATAATAAACAATAACAAACAATGCACAGACTATGAGAAACGTTAGTTTCTCTATCTGGTCTGTGACTTAGGGATATTCGATATACATCGATGGATCGAATTCACTCGATGTTTACAATACGATGCATCGAATCGATCCGATGTTTTGGAAAGCTATTGATATACTCGATGTATCGATGTATTTTCATAAAACATCGAATCAATGATAACCAGTCAATTGTAAACAGGTATACTTATCTATCACTATTAATATTATAACTTCTAAATCAGAAAAACTAAAACATGCTCTGATTTAGAAGTTATAATATATAAACCTGTTGGTGGCGCTAGTTAGCGGCTGTCAGTCCATTAGCGGAATCAAGAAATTGAGATTGGCTGGTTGTGTATTAAAGAAAATCGTCTGGTCTATCTCGGCCTTAAGGCGGCTTCTCACTTTCGTGCCGCAGGGCAAGCTAGGACGAACAGCGATCGGGGCAATATCAGAACTGTCTACACACATGCCTGCCATTCTATGTGAGAGTGTACGTCTCGCTGGACACACGCGTTGAGAATGGCGCTAGTTTTATCAAAATATAAATGAATCGGTAAATATAGGAATGGCTCTTTTTATATAGAATAAAGGTGACAAATGAGCACAGTCCACCTGACGTTAAGTGGATACTGTGGCCCATAGACACCCATATTTATTGATAAAATCACTAATTAATTAATAATTACACACATAACACAGTCTTTAATAGCTGCAGTATGACTCTACCACGTTTAAAAACGTTACGACGTTCAGATAACGTTCTTTCTGCGGTGCTACCGCAAAAAAAATAGACAAAAGGAGATACTGGGTGAAGAAGCCGCCTCTTTATACACTTCTATCACCAGTGTCCAAATTTCATGTTTTATTGGTATTCATTATGACGTGCTGCATGCGAAAGTCGCTTACGAACTGTTTGAAATTGCCCCATTTGCGTTACACATGTGGCGTGGTAGCTATGATCTAGGGAGCAAGGAAGGTCTTGCGCCTATGTCGCTCTGCCGCAGGGCCGACTTAGAAAATTGCCCCTGCTTGCATACACACATCACAATTAAGGAGGCAATTAAGGGTCATCCCCACTCCTACACCCTAGATTGCCCCTGCGGCAGGCAAGTGATAGCCGCCTTAAGACCATTTAACCTCAGACTCATCTCGCGTAATTATTCCCCTCTGCCAAGGTATTGGATTTAAAAGCTTGTGCGTTTATAAAAACTGCTTACGAAATAGATTTTATTATTACATGAATCGTTTCCGCCGAAGTAGGTGCTCTTTCAAAAATACCGATCGGTGCGATCATAAAGCAGTCAAAATACTTAAAATTTAAAAAGATGGAGTTATATTCCATATGTAAGTATTTTTATTGTGATGCATGCTTTTTTTTCTATTAAAATCATTTAAAATAATATCGTAAACATTGACCTACTACTAAATGGACCTTGGATCTGCACTCAAGTGTCCGAGTCAAAAGAGTTCCAAAATGCAAAGAGAGTTACAATTGCGCGCCAGTCTTCGTTTTGTCGATTGATAATACACTCCAAAATTACTGTATCACAAAAGGAGCAAAACTATTTATATCTATATATATTTTCGATAAGGACTATTTTAATAATTTAAACGTAAAATTTTGCTTAGATACAACATACGTAGTATTTAAATTAAATTCACATTAATTGTAAAAACAAAAAATCAAACCGATAATTTTCGCTAGAAGCTGCATAAGATGAAAACAGCTTCTGGTTGTAGTTGAAAGGCTGCTAAATTGTCGCAAGTAAGATTATATATAAATAATACGTTTTTATAGGTTGACTCGGGACACATTTTTCGTGAATTTTGTTCTAGAACCGCCGTCTATTTAGTAGTAGGTATAATGACTAATGACCATTAATAATAATTTATTTATTCTTTATTACATTCCTTAATATAAAATAATACAAAGGGCGAACTGAAAATGTGTAGCAGAATAGAATAAAAACAAAATAAAAAATAAATAACTAAGATATATATACATTTTACTAATATATAAAATAAATACATACAAATATAAATAGTATATATAATTGACTGGGAGAGAATGCCTTAAGGCATTGTGTCCGCCATATATACGATTTTTCTTTTGTGCGTAAAAGTAAAAAAAAAACAATAAATATATAAATATAAATAACTATGAATATATTCGTCTGTTAATAATAATATTCTTAAGATTAAGATACTTTGTGTGTCGTGCAATAAAGAATATCTATCTGTCTTACATCCTTGAACACTCACATACACACACTCACACACAACGCCTGCGGACAAAGACAGTGCCGATGTAAGAGTAGATCATTCAAATTTGTCGATTGTTTGAATGTCAGGAAGTTGGGATGTCAGGAAGTTGACTACAGATTTATAATGTAAAGTCATAAAAAGTACTCGATGTTGCAAAAACATCGATGTTTCTAACCGATGCATCGAAATATATCGATGCACAGTCTCGATGCATCACATCGAAAAAAAACATCGATGTATTTTCAAAGTGGACACCCCTACTGTGACTATGAGTATGACCAAAGAGTATAGTAAATGTTCTCCAGTATTATATATTAGTCTATGGTAAATGTCCTATGAGTATGACCAAAAAGTATTTACGGTAGTGCAAAAAAAGTGCAAAGAGTATAGCAGGGTGACCATCTTAAAAATACAGATCCTGCCTTACTTTGGTTAAAAACGTGCCATAAACTGCCAGTCTGTAGTGAAAAATGCCTAAATTCTGCCAAATTTATTTACTATTGTATTAAACTAAGAAAAGTAAAAATACACATCATATAATTGCTATATTTTTTTTTTATAAAATCTAAACGTATATTTCATTGGTTTGAATGCAATGCAATCGCCATGCTCACTTGTCTTGTGTAGTTCGCGAACGATGAACGATTAGGAAACGTATCTTGCCACTGTACTAGAAGAAATGTTTTCGAATGCCAACTGTTCCAATCCAATTCCTCAGAGCACTCCTCGTGGTAAATGCGAAAGAAAATGCAAAGAGATGCAACATCTCTTCGCAGCGCCAATGAGTCGAGTCGATCGGAAAGGACTTGGTCGTCGACGATTCGAGCCACTCTGCGCTGGATGCGGTCAAGTGGAAGGAGTTGGCACTGGGGAGCCCCTGCCCAGAGATGGGAACAGTATTCCATGTGAGGCCGAACCTGCGCCTTGTAAACACCGCATTCCGGTCACCTGCACTCACCAGACGAAACGCGGAAGCAGAGCTTCCACTTCACGCCGTTTAAATTGCGTCTATCAGTCTGACTGTTGATTGATTCAGTCAGTGACTGACTGTGACTGAGATAACCATTCCATGAAGATAGATACAATTTAAACAGGTTTGTAGTTCTGATGACCGAGTTGAACTAATAGAACGAACTAGTTCACTGTCCGTAATGTACTAGTACGGAACGAATCTTTAAAATGGCCGACCAGGTCACCAGGCACAAGACTAATGCTCACCAATGCACAAGGCATTTAACGTACAAGATAGGCAGTTAATGTTTATTTATAAATTTGTTTCGTGTTTTTGTCTTTGTTACGGACGGCGAAGGAGGCCGCTGCCCCGTCGCCCCTTCATACCCCGTTGCGCCCCGCGCACCCCGCACACCGGCAGCAGATCACGCGATGTCGCCGACCAATCAGCGCGCGGCATCGCTTTACGACGCTACTCGTATATCGAGACGCTCTCTTGCGGGATATAAGAAGGGCGTTCTGGTCTGTGAGGTGTTCATTTCGGAAGCGGCACTAGAAGAAACCACAAGAGAAGAAACCTCAAGAGAAGAAACATCAAGAGAAATCAAGAAGACTCCCCTCTGTAAATAGTTTATTAGTGAAAGCCGCATTTGTAAATAGTTTAATACAGTATAGTTCTACAGTACCATCTTTTCTTTGAGCCTAGCGTAGTCAGTCATACAGTCCACTTGCAATAGTAAATTCATACAGTCCACTACAATCCATTATAGTCTTAATTAAATTTATTTGAGAGAATATTCTTTCGCATATTGAATCTACTCATATTTATTTTGATGTTTACTAGTAGTGGCATGCTTCTTTAAAGCGGACAGCCGGCGTGCCAATTTGCAGTTACACAGTCTGGATCATCTTTAGCTTTGGAGATCCATGATGAAAGTAAAAGATCTTGCTCCCACTTCAATCTATACGCATTTTCATATTTTCGCTTCATCATTCATTCGATTCATAATTACTATCTTCCACGAAATATTATTAACAAGATGTTATTACTATGAAATCTAATGCGATACCAGTTACCAATCTAAAGTACGTCTCTTTTATGACTGATTGAAATATTAACCAATTCGTGTTAATTCGTTTTAAGCTTATCAACTTTATACACAATTTTTTTTAAAGTTGTTTACTGAATGTGATACAAACATAATACGAAAAATAGAAGGAAATCCCCAACATGCTGGCGAAGTATCTAGGGCTGCCATTTTCGTCATTTTAAGTTGCCATAATGAAATCTATTATTAATACCCCAATACTGCCAGATACTGCCAGGATTTATAAAACGTCAACTGATCATGCCTGAGGCTAAAATAAGAGGCCAATTCTGCCAAAATGACAGGAACCTGCTACATGGCCACACTGGAGTATAGTAACTGTCCTCTGTCCTATACAGGAAGGGTGGTGATCACAGAACACTGTTACGTAGTGATGAGTCAACTCGAGTTAACTCGAGTTGGATCTCCCTAACTCGAGTTTGGGCTGCTGTCGTGTGCGCGCTTTGTGTTTTAAAGAGTATTTAACTACAACCAAGACAATTTGTTATTTAGAATTTTATAATAGCTAAGTTATATAATTTAAATTCTTTTATAATTTTGAAGGGTTTATGATCAATATAGTTATGTAAGTCACAGACCTATTATGTAATACCCCAAAAGGGTGGTTCAATTGTAAAATACGTCATATTTTAAAAATTAAAACCAATTGTAACACTTAACTTACAATAAATATT